ATTTTCATTTGGCAGCATCAGGATGTCTTACCGAAAGGAAGAGTGAAATCCCAAGGCTCAAGGTTATTTTTACAGGTGTCAAGGATCTAACAACCACCACCAAGGCAGGAAAAAAAGCTCTACGGAGATAGAAATGAAAACATGACATGTTGCAGAGGAGGACTGAATTCCCCTTACTTTCAAAGACACAAAATGATGAATTACTCCAATGGAGGAGAAATAGGGGCAATTTGTCACTCTTTTCATTTGTTGATGACAAACAAATCCAGTGGAGAGATGTTTGTAGTGTCACTGCTGACAGAACCACACACTCGGTTGTCATACTTGCTGCTAATGTGAATGCCGAGTAAAACAACTACTCTGACTAGCTTCCCAGACACTTATTTTTATGCAGCATGTCTTGCTAGTGAAGCATTGAAGTCCCACCAAAGATGAAGATTCGTGACCAGTTGAAGGCTGCACATTGGTAATTTGGTCAGAGACAAACCTACCGTCATTGAAGTCAGTGGGAGTTTTCCCATTGACTGTAGAAGGAGCAGGAACAGCTTCATACTTTGCAATAAAACAGAGTATTGATATAACTGCCATCATCATTCCTAGTCAGGTGTGATCTGTGTAGAATGTAAGTCCTATTTATGCAATGCTCCCTCATGATCTGACTGGAGGCTGCTTAAGACGGAGCATCACATGCCAGTGCCAGAAGTGTCTCTCTTCACAATACACGTTCCTTTGAGAATCAGAGGCAGCATTGCCATTGCGTTGGCGATGTTGTAGAACTCCGTGCCCTGCCTTGGAATGATAGGCCACTCTTTGGAACCCTTTTGTCAGAACTTGTCAAAACACTGAGTGAACTGCAATTTTGCAGCAGGCTGACTATTAAAAATGGAATTCGATACTATCCAATGGAGGTAGATTAACACTGCTGACCACAACCCAACCACTTAGGACCTGTCTACATGGGGAAATTTACCAGCAGAACTATACCGGTATAATTATCCCAGCATAATTCTGCCAATATATGCGTTTATTGTGATTGTATCTATACAGACAGTCAAATCAAGGCATCCTGCTTAACCATTCAACAGCTAAGGGAAGAGCAATGTGCAAGTCAATGAGTGAACCAGACAGCCCTTGCCAGCAGATAGGGCCTGAAAATGTGTGGCTGACATCTCTTTACTGGCCACAGTCGCAAGGGGAGCAGGGGTCACAAAGGCTCCATTTATAGTTATTAGGAGCACATCTGATCCCTCCACATATGAAGCAATCAAATGAGCTTTACCCAAACATGGCATTGAAAGGTCAAAACCAGGGGGCTGGACTGTTGGATTTGTCATAACATAAGCATTCACCACTTTATATGCCACCTGGAGGTGATATGAAGGTTCCTTAAGGGAATTATCCAAGCAGGATGCCTTGAGCTGACATAGTGGGTTAAACATCTCTTTACACTGGGGTAGATGTGGCATGTCATGCACCTGCAGAATATTTGCTCCTTAAGGTCTCCTGATAGCATGAAGTGCAAGGTTGGACAGAACAAGCAGTGAGGCCAGGTTACTTAGTGTCATGCACAAACACTAAGAAATTCTGCCAGTAAAATTTCACCACATAGACACACCATTAGTTACAATGTATTGGCCAAGTAAGATTTAAATTCTTTGTTCATTTTAACAGCTGCACTCCATGGCTTAGTAACTCTCTGAGAGTCTGGTGATATAATCCACCAATTTATAATTGGGTCAGTCTCTGGTTTATTCTCCTTTATGTAGAGTCTAAACATTCTCCCCTCTGTTTCCTGTGTAATGTGCTAGATGACGTTTTTAAACCCAATAAAATATATTATATATATTGTGACAGGGTCAGGCCAGATGGCTACAGGAAAGTGATAGAAGGCAGATTTATTAGCCCCAGGTTAAGTAGGTCCCTTTTCCCTGGGTAAGGTAACAGGGAAGGTTCCAGAACAATCACGAACTTTCTGGAAACAATTAAGGCAGACAGGCTGATTAGAACACCTGCAGCCAATCAAGAAGCTGCTAGAATCAATTAAGACAGACAGGCTAATTAGGGCACCTTGGTTTAAAAAGGAGCTCAATTCAGTTTGTGGTATTTGTGCGAGGAGCTGGGAGCAAGAAGCTGAGAGTGAGAAGGCATACTAATGGAAGACTGAGAAGTACAGCATTTTCAGACATCAGGAGGAAGGTCCTGTGGTGAGAATCATAGAATCATAGAATCATAGAATATAAGGGTTGGAAGGGACCCCAGAAGGTCATCTAGTCCAACCCCCTGCTCAAAGCAGGACCAATTCCCAGTTAAATCATCAACAAAGAAGAACAAAGAAGGTGTTGGGAGGAGGCCATGGGGAAGTAGCCCAGGGAGTTGTAGCTGTCATGCAGCTGTTACAGGAGCCACTGTAGACAGCTGCAATCCACAGGGCCCTGGGTCGGAACCCGGAGTAGAGGGCAGGCATGGGTTCCCCCCATCCCTCCAACTCCCTACTTGATACCGGAGGAGTTGACCTGGACCATGGGTTCCACCAGAGGGGAAGGTCTCTGGCCTGTTCCCCTATCCACTAAGTGGATCAGCAGAGACTGCAGGGATTGTTGTTCTTCCTTTTCCCCATGCTGGGCAGTGATGAGGCTAACTGAGTGAACAGCAGATTTGAGCCACGAAAGTGGCCAAATCGAGGGCTACTGTGAACCTCTGAGGCGAGCAAATGGGCCAATAAGCACAGGACCCACCAAGGGTCTAATTTATGCAAAGACTTTTTCCATTAGTTCATAGACTCAGACTTTAAGGTCAAAAGGGACCATCATGGATCATCTAGTCTGACCTCCTGGTCATTGCAGGCAACAGAACCTCACCCACCAACTCCAGCAATAGACCCCTATCCTCTGGTTGAGTTATTGAAGTCCTCAAACCATGGTTTAAAGACTTCAAGTTACAGAGAATCCACTATTTACTCCAGTTTAAACCTGCAAGAGACCCATACCCCATGCTGCAGAGGAAGGCAAAAAAGACCCAGGGTCTCTGCCAATCTGACAGGAAAATTCCTTCCCAACCCCACATATGGTGAACAGTTGTACGAGCATTTTGGCAAGACCCATCAGCCAGACATCTGGGAAAGAATTCTCTGTAGTAACTGAGAGCCTTCCCCACCCAGTGTCCCATCACTAGCCATCAGGTATATTTGCTACTCGCAGTCGCAGATTAGCTACATGCCATTGTGGGCAGTCTCATCATACCATCCCCTCCATAAACTTATCAAGCTCAGTATTGAAGCCAGATAGGATTTTTGCCATCGCTGCTCCTCTTGGATGGCTGTTCCAGAACTTCACTCCTCTGATGGTTAGAAATCATCTAATTTCAAGCCTCAACTTGTTGGTCAGTTTATATCCATTTGTTCTTGTGTCAACATTGGCACTTAATTTAAATAACTCCTCTTCCTCCCTGGTATTTATCCCTCTGATATATTTATAGAGAGCAATCATACCTCCCCCTCAGTCTCATTTGGTCAGTTAGATTAACTGTTTCTTGTCAAATTTAGAGATACTTCAAGTAAGAAATGCATGTAGATAATCCAAGTTTTGGCTGGAGGCATTAGCTTCCACTTTCTTTCCTAGAAAAGGAACATTTAGTTGTAGAGATGGCTCCTCAACCCATTCACAGAGGTAGAAGTTTTTAGCAATGGTAAAAATGTAATTTTGCCGCATCTGAAATGCCATACTATAAAAGAAAGTAAGAGATGATAAATTCAGTTGCCTGAATTTCAACTGTGTCAAGTGTGGAGAACAGAGGCGGCCACGCAGTGCATACCTTTTAACTGCTTTCTTTTGGAGTTCTTGTTGCTCATCTTCATTATGACAAATTACTTATTGCAATGAGACCCACATTTACAGGTCAGTACGATAAAGAACTTTAGCATGCACTAGCCTTGTCATCCCCATTTCCTTGAAGGCATTTACATTATATGCCAAATGTACCAAGTCAAAGACAACAGGTCCACAAGAACAGCAGAACAGGCAATTTACCAACTTCAGTGTGATCAGGTATTTCTAAAGGAAACCTTATTTTTAAAAACAACTCATAGTAAGATTTGTAGGCAATTATTTGGGTCAAGAACCAAATGGAAGTTGAGGAAAAAGATCAGTGAAGCTAGAATGTTGGTGAAGATAGATAAATAGCACTTGATAAAATGGAGGAAAATTACTGCCTAGATTTGTGCTAATCTGTTTCCCAGGCTCAGTTTAAGAAAACAGGCCAAGGCAGAAAATTTAGTATAAAAGGTTACATCTCCTTTATGAAAGGATCCCTCCCCTGCTTCCTTCTGCTGCTGCAGCTGCGGCTTCTCTCTCTACAGCACACTCACCTCTCCTTATCCTATCTAAGGTTCAGAGCCCAGTCAGATGAAGAAACATTCTGAGGGCTTTGACATAAGATTTGCTGCCCGTTGATGTGTTACTGCACAAGACTTGAGTCTGTGCCTCCCTCCCCCTCACCCTTTTTTTGATGCAAGCCACCAAATGGTCAAAAAATGTCTTGTGAGCCAAATCCTATGCATCTTTGCACCTGTCAAGGACTGTGCAATATGACTGGTCACAAGATTATTTTTCTGCCATTTCAGGGTCATTGGTAAAAAAAATGTTGAGAACCACTGTCCACGATAGCATAGTACACATCCCACCAGAGTTCTCTAACGCAGCAGCAATTCAGAGATACCTTCTGCACTTCATTAAACAGCCTGGTGACCTCAACAAAGCTTTTCAGCAAAGCTTCCAGCTATCCTTAATTAACTAGCACATGTTATGCAACACAGACGGTCAGTCAGGTCACTTGTACTAAGTTTCAAAAAGAAAAAAACAAATGGAGCTTGACAGGAAAAAAACCTACTACATTTCAATCTGGAGTGAGTGAAACAGCATATAGCAAGAAGTGAGCCATTAGTGTCCCTGTGCATGCATGGTGGTATTGTAAATATTAAACAAGAAATGTTTTACCAAAACAAATTCAAACAATCATATTTATTGTTCAGCAAATTCACTCTATGCACCATTCATGGCTCTGGATATTTTGAAAGGCAGGAAAGAGAAAGAAATACCTAATAAATTCAGTATCAGAACATTTATTTACAAAGGTACTGGAATTCAACAAAAAATTCTCCACTTTCTGGATTAACTTCTTTGATGGGAAACGGATAGTTATATTTTTCAATTATAAAGAGAAAATAGACTCCTTTCCTCCAAAGAGGTTCCATTGTTCTTATGCAAAAGATTATGCCATCACCACTGAGCAAACAGCCTATACTTTGTACTTTCAAAAAGCAAATAGTAAACAGTTTTAGAAACCAGAATACAGAAAGCAAACATTTTGGTGTACATTTTAATGCAGCTTCATATTATTCTAGAGACTTCACCTCATAGCATATGTCAAAAATAAAGATAGCAATCACAAATACATATTTATATTAACTATTTCAATAGTGCTCATTTAAGAGCATAAAAAACAAAATACCCTCTTCATATACCATTGGAAACTCTGCTAGTTGATTATCAGCCTCAAAAATGTTTTGAAGTTATGACTGATAAATGTTTGTTCTCCCTTGTGCTTTTAAGTACATTGAACTCAAAAAGTGAATGTGTTTTCCCCCAAGAGAGTTCCTTCTTGTGATTACATTCTCATAAATAACTAAAGTTGAATGAAAGATACAATGCATCTTCTACATAATCTAGACAGGCAAAAACGTTACCCTTAAAAAACACAAACAAAATACATATTTATAGATCTACATCACCAGCAACCACCTCCTCTTCTATCTGCAACAATGGTTTCATGTTTATGGTTGCTTCACATGGAGGTTGGCTGTCCAGCTATTGGGGTCGGGGAGAAATAGAAAAAAAGGGTTTTAATTAAGGAAGAGTTTTTTGGAGTGTTTTAGTAAACGTAAGATACTGAGTTCAAAAATGCTTGTCAAAATATCATCATTAATCAATATCTGTTTGCAGTTCCCTTTTGCAAAAGGTAATTAACACAGAATCAAAAAATGCTTTTTATTCAAAGCACCAGCACCAAGCTCACTAAGTTCGAATTTTTGTAAATGGGAATAAAGGAAAAAATTCTGTACCGCATCCTTTAATTAAAACCTGCAAGTAAATCAATCCACTGCTGATCTAATACTCCCAAATGAATAACTAATCATGAGGCTATAATTCAAAAAAGAGTAGCTTTGGAAATAGTAACCAACATCCTATAATTAGGATAAACTAATCATTTTCCTAGTATGTGCATGTATCAGTTTTATAAGTAGATGCAATTTTGCAGCGTGACTGATTTGTTATTTAGTGAACAGCAATGACTTTAAGGGTATGCCTACACTGCAACCAAAGGCATTATTCGAGCATACTCTAGCCACAACAACAGTGAAGCCACAGAAGCAAGGGCTGCAATACGGACTGTACACCCCATCCAGGACCACCCAAGTGGCTAGTCTGTGACTCTGCGGCTTCACTGCTATCGTTAGGCAAGCTAGCTCAGATATGTCTACACATGCGACAGTCGCATCTCTGATTGCAGGGTAGCCACACCCTAAGGTGCCACTTTCCCAGATTTGTAAAGAATGAAGCACATCCATCATAACGGGATGGTAAACCATTGCACAGTATGTTAAGGGAGCGGAGAGTACAGCCCACAAAGAGAAACTGAAATGAAACCTTTATGAATCAATTCACTAATATACCAGGCTAGCACTGAAAATAATAGCCTTTGATAAGTGCAGCAGTAGGCAGGCTCTGGGGGCCCCAGAGCAAAAGTAGAAAATAAAGTTTTCACACACTTATGATAGTCTGGTCTCCTTACTTTTAAATTTGACATAGCAGTCGTTGCAGAAGAGTTCATTGTTTCGGATCCTGACTTCAGCTCCTGAGTGCGAGCCTCCGAGGTCGCATGCACAAGCTGTGCACTGTATTAAACATCAATAATTAGCAACTTGTTACAAACACGGGGAGAAAACATGTACATAAGCAGCTTATAATAAAAACCAGCGAAGCCTGAACCATAAACCCAAATTAGCAAAAGCAAACATACTATTTGCAGATTAAAATGCAGCCAACCAGATGAGACATCATTTAAAGGTGATGACTAGCAAACTATTAGAGATGCACATTCTAAACATATAAAACAGAAATGATTCAGAGATATGCTCACGAAATCTTGTTTAAGGTTCAATTTCTCAGAAACAAAATTTTAAAAAATGGCACAAAAGGAAAGAACTTGTTCTTGAAATGGTGACAGCAATTTTGGCACAGAACATTTGAGTGTGCCACTTGCAGATTCCATGCAACACTATCTGCTTTTCATTCTGTTAGCTTTCTTTTCAAGACAGGAAGCATTTATGCCCAATTATTCTAAGTGTGTATGCATAATTTAAAAGAATTCTCGGGAGCTTCAGATTGCTTCATTTTGCCAAAACAGAATTCTTGCCACCTTTTCTTATGCTAATATTAAAATGTTTAAGTATAGTGGGCAAACAATGCATTACTATAGCGTGAACTAAGCAATCACTCTGGACTCTCCAAGCAGGCAGAGGAGACACATGTACATCTAAACCGCATCGTGTCTGGATGGACTGTCTCCGTATCGCCGTTCACAATACATGCATGCTGGATTTAGAAAATAAAATGTTCTGTAGTCTTCAAGGGGGTTAGCATTTGCAGCCTATGTGAAAAATGCTACAGTATGATGGCATCTAGCAAGGGTATCAGGAGAAAAAAAGGATTCTAGAATTAAGATATATTCATTCAGCTGTTCCACAGGGCCTTACACACATCGATAAAAGCCCATATATAACATCTAAAATAATAAATTCAACTCTGCAGTACTTTGTTCAATGGTGCACTAATCCTAAAACAATTTCCTTTAGAAGAGATCATAACTCCTCCTATGTGCCAGTGCGGGTGAGTGCAAAGGGGTAATTCCTCTGTGCTGACTACCCATGTAGCAGGAAATAACATGGAGGAAAGGCAGTGGAGAGCACCTTGTGTGGATTTCTATTCTTCCTTCTGTGCAGGGGTACAGAAGTAGGTGGAGCCTTGGCTCCTTCCCCTACAACATGCCACCCAACACAGCTGGCACAGATTACTTCTTCCCTTTGGCCTGGGGGGAACCAATGGCCAGAGACACTTAAGTCTTAATCTAGTTTCTCGTCTATTCCTGGAGCAGTGCATCTATGTGTTGTCCCTTACTAAGGGGTTTATAGCAAAGTGGCAAAGTCACAAGTGATTTTAGCTGACTCAATTTTTGGATGCCCAATTTGACACACCATAAAGTGGCCTGATTTTCAGAGAGCAGGTGTCTCAGCATTTTCTGAAAATGCCTTTTTTTAAAACGTGAAAATTGGAGTGTAGATGTTAAAACTTTAATACTACTCCTCTGATTGTTATTAAAGTGAATGCTTAAAGCCTGTCGATAGGACTGTTGCATGGATATATGCATGTAGCACACAACATGAGTGGAGCATGTATCATGTGATTAGTAGAGCCTTTGCAACCAGAACTCCAAGTAGCCATGCGTGCTCCAAGTTAGTTCCCGTTTCTTCACAGTGTTTCTCCAGCTCTCACCTTAAAACAATGTAAATGATAACAAAGACCAAGAGATTCGATGATCATGGCTGCTCCTTTGCCCAGAACGTTATTACAGTATGAGCATATTTTCTTCCCACTGACTGACCTAGATACAGAACAAGAATGTGGCTCAGGCCCTCAAAACCACTTGAAAAGGTTTAAAATATAAACAAAAGTGATCAAGAGCATGTTGTCATGATAGAAAGCATTGAAACAGAGGACTGTGTGCTGCAGTAATGAGCGGAAAATTAGGTTATCAGGAAAAAACATCAAAATTAATGTTCTGTAATTAAATATGCAAGCTATAAAATCAAATTTAAATGAGAAAAAATATACAGAAACACAGACAAAACAGAAGTGAACATAAGATTTTATGCAGCATTCTTGTGCACTATTTTATCATGTTAAATGCTGGTTGAAGAGGAGTCTAAAACAGATATTGCTAAGCTTGGAAACTAGTGATACATAGTTTTTGTGCTCCTGCCTCATTTCTTATCTGCAAGGAACTATTATTAGGGCTACACTTTACTAAAACCTTTGCCAAGTACCACTCTCTGTAGATTGTTAAGTAACTGAAGTCTGGTTCTGGACATACATTACATTAACTCCTTTAAACATGTGCCTTATAGAGGTAAATTTCTATGGGCCAACCGGAATATTTGAAATCCGAAAATGGAAGACAGAACAAGAGAAGCAGCCATTTTTAAAATGGTCATTTTCTTACACTATTAAAAAAAATTAAGTAGTCTAGCTTTTAAAAAATGCATCAATTTATCAAAATGTTCATGAATGCTAGAACTAGGAAGGGTGAAGGAATGCTTTTGCAATGGTCTCATTACACCTATTGCATGTAATTGTGTGTGCATGAGTTTCCACAATCATATACACATTTGTTTAAAAAAGTTTTAATTACATGAAAGAGCATGGTTACCTTCAGTCCAAAATAAACTGTAATTAGTACTTCCTTTTCTGGATTAAAATAATGGCCTACCCTACAATTACCCAAGATCACTAGCCATGAACATTCCTGAGAATTCCCTGAGAAGATGTTGACCACATGTCTGCAAAAGAGATGTGGTCAATAAAATGTGGGTCTTAAAATTTTATGTATTTATTTTTTAAACAAAAGATTCTTACAAAACCAATACATGTCAGAAGTGATGTCTGGAAAGTACAAGGAGACTTATTATCATTTTTGTAACCCATAAATAATTTTGAGTTGAGTGACTACAGATTTATTGCTTCACCTGGGAAACTTTCTGAACAGCTCTGAGAAACATGGAAGGGATAACACTGTTCTTCTATGGTATCTTTCAGCTAGATAACTCAAGGCACTTTTCAAATATTAAGTTTTACAACACTCCAGTGTGGAAGTACAGTATAATTCTATCTGTTTCACACACAATCAGACTCCAATACTAAGAGATCAAGTAGCTTGTCTAAGATCAAAGCAAACCAGTGGCAAAGCTTGTACAAGACTCCAGCTACCCCGCTGTAACTACTGTATGAGTGTGTCCACAGTTCAGCCTGCTATTTATAAATTTTCAGCAGATGGGCAACTACTTACCTGTTCCGCTGCTGAGCTCCTGATCGGGAAGCAGAGGTAGGAGACTGAGCACGAGGTACAGACGAAGGTGCTGAGGGGAAACTGTGGGATGAAGTTGCTGATCTTCCAGAGCTGGCTGAAGGAGGTGCTACACTGGAGGAGGGGGTACGCATGTAAGCTCGGTTCGAAGTAGACACTAGTGGAGCAGCAGAGCGACTAAAATCTTGATTAGATGACAAGGATGTGGAAGAGGCAGATTGATTCGTCCAAAGTGGAGATCTCCATGAACTTGTTCTTGAGGAATCAAGGTTATCTAAAGATTCACCTCTGAAATGTATAATTGTTATGTGCAGAATATTACTGCCCAGAAACATATCTTCTTATGAACTAACACTTTATCATGCTTTGATTTTACAAAAAAGAAATATTTAAGTTTTCACGGTACACAAGGTATCAAAATATTCACTGTATCTATTTTAAAGGTTGATTTTCTAAGCATAATTATTTTTGATAACCTGAATATTTTATTATATTCCTTTATTAAAAATATTTGAAGCTGCAAACTGTTTATAATAACTGGGCTTCACTAGCCCTAGGGGAAAAAATGACCAAAGAAGGTGAGGCTAAAGCACGAAAGATAACAGCAAAATACACTTCAGTATAGCTTTATCAGCGTGAACCAAATCAAATTGTTTTTATTTAGTAATGACACCAGATAGTGGTGGTGTTTGTATTTTTCTCTAAGGGATACCAGTTCTAAAATAGATCAATCCCTCCCCACCATTAGTCAGTCACATTGTTCAGAAACCAGCTGTTGGCACAACTATGATCTCATGACTGATATCTTACTGTTTCCTAAGTGACAAACCCAACGTTTAGACCCTATGCAAGCAACAAACACAGAAATTCTGAAGTTTCCTACAAGATATTTGTGCATGTTAGAAATTACTGAAAATTATTCTTCAGAATCTATAAGCTTTATTTGAGAACAAAGTAAATTACTGAGGTTCTCAAATACATGTACAAATGACAATGCACATTAATCATTAATTCACATTACTGGTATATCAAAGGAGAAATAAGCAATTGAGGAAGTATTTACAGTTCACACAACACCACCTTTATACTCCATACTTGCAAATATTTGATCTCAGCTATAACACAACCAAGTTTTACCCCACTATGTTGTGACTCAAATTAGCTCAAAATCTTTACTGGCTTTACAATCTGTGCTGCAAAGCAACATTACAGCGCCCCAAATCTAAATATTATCTAGAGGCAAAGTTCAGTTTACAATTTTCAACAAGCTTCCTACCTCTTCATTGTATTCTTGTGAAGATTAACAGGGTCCTTATGCACACTAGAACTACGCTGCCTAATCCAGCTGTTGTCTGTATGTAGTGATGTTTTCTTTCTCATTTCCTGAAGGATATGTTGTCTCTCTATTTCTGCTGAAGACTGAGCAGGCTCTTTCTGAGACCCCTTCTGTGAATCACTGACATTCCAAGACTTTTCCAAATATTTGTTGTTTGTACCTAATTTGAAAAATACAAACATCTGTCAAGTTTTAGGGAGATAAAACACAAAAGCTAAAATTAAAAAGCAAATTGTAAAACTAGTGTTGTAAAACTACTGAAGCAAAGTATGCACCTTTGTGTTATTAATATTTGATGAAGTATAAATTTCACCATTTTAATATTGACTGCCATTACTAAAACAAATATTACCAGACAACATGCACATCAGAAGCATTAAAGATATCACCAGACAAAAAGGGAGATATCCAGTGTCAAGCTAGCAGTGAACTATCAAAAATCTAAGTTAAAGCACAGAAGTAAGCACCAGGTATTCTGTACTTCTAGGCTATAATGCCAGAATGGGGTATGAGTTATTTTGTGCTTCCTCCTCTGCCCCCCAATATAAATATCCCTAGCCTGCTTTTCACAGGTGTAGGGTTTTCATGTGACTAGTGACAAATCAAGCAATACATCATAATTTACAATGTGGCAATTTACAATAAAAAAATCAAATAGAGACAAGCAAAAGCTGCTTATCAACCATGGTGCAACATCACGCTACTTTTAAACAAATGGGTATTCCCTGCACTTTTAAGGTCAGATGAAAGTCAGAAAGATCCTTTGCTCTAAAAGCCTGAATTCCCCTCCCTCTTTGAAAGAGGCTCTTCTCCAGTAATGAAATGGAAGCCTGCCGGAATACACAACTGCATAACAAGTTCCTTCTCCCCTTTCAGAATTTATAATCCACACCCCCTCTAATTATAGGAATTATTCCCTGTTCAAAATGTCAAATTTATTGTGTTTTAGAGGAGACAGTCTTGCTTTATAAATGTATCTGCTTCAAAAACGCCCCTTGCTGGAAGCATTTTATCTACTACCTAGTTACTGGGATATCTAGGCCATTGAAGGAAAGGTCAAACTTTTGGTGTAAGGCATCCTTTGGTCCTTACTTGACATCTTAAAAAGGTAGAAAAAACAATGCCATTCTCCTCAAAATGAACAGAATTACTAGTGTTTTAAAAAAAAAAGGAAATTTGTTTTTATTCAGCTATTCTTTGTGCTAGGCCTACTTAAGTGAACAAAACAGTAAGTCACTTCAGTTGTAATAGTCCCTCTTCTAATACTGCTTTGACTACAGATTTACTATTGGATTTATTGGTACAGATTAACTTGTCAGATATTTCTGGAAGTCTAGTCATCTCATTAGTTTTGGTGATTGAGATGTGATTTGAGAAAGTGATCTTCTTGCCAATTTGAGATGCACTCCCACCTTGGTCTGGGTTAGCATGTTCCATCTGATAAACCATTTGTTTTCTTGTAGCCTCCAGCTCTCGTTTTTTTGCCTTTTGCAGAGTCTTCATACTTTGCTTTCGGTTTAACTCCTCTTGCAACAGCCATTGGGCAATACCACCTAATGGTTTTCCATATTCACCTACAGTCACGTTTGCATACACAAACCCATTTATCACTTGTACAAAATTTTTTTTGTAAAGTAGCTTGTTGTATCTTCCATCATATTGTCTTTAGTAAGTCACCCGCATTCCCTTACATACTATACTCGAAGCAGATTATAAAATATCTAGAATATAATTTCTAAAGAGAATGGTATGTAATCTTATATTTTAGCAGCTCCTTAAGAAAACTGAAGCCATTGTTATATCCCCAGGAAATCATCTCCAGCTGTTTTCTTCCCATATATACATTGTAAATGTTGCAAAACAATTTTGTTAAGAATAGTGCCCCAGTTTTTGTAGCATTGAGTTTTGTTATTCCCAATTCAAATGCACTAGCATATCGTACATCTATTATCCACATTAGCCCCATTGTTTCTATATTCAATCTACCACAGAAAATGTATTAAAATACAGCCTTACACATAACTGTTTAAAAGTATTAATGCACTATATAGATTATGATTACAGTCTGACTGTAATCCATACTACTTTAAAATAAATTTGAACTAAAGTATATCTTAGAAAAGCATCCATTCTGAATTTAAAGACACTGACTTTTGGATAATTTACCACACCTCTTAGATAATCTATTCCAGTGGTTAATTTTCCACACTACTAAAAATCTGATATAGCATATGTATACTTGAATTATGAGTGGCAATCAAAAACAATTATTTTTAACCTTCAAATAGCTAGTTGCTGTAACTACCCTTTGATTGTATTCATGTTTTCATGCAGTTAATAATCAACTTAAAAAGATCTAAGAGCAATTAAAGTCCTCACCATTTTGACTTCTGGGGTAATCATCCAGTTCTGAAGTCGATCTAGATTTATTTCTATAAATACAGAAAACTTGTATTACCATAGCTCTAGTCATGGTGCAGGACACTGTTGGGCTAGGCACTATACAAACACAGATCAAAAAGATGGTCTTGCCCGCAAAGAGCTGACAATTTAAGTATAAGACAAGATATAACAGATGGATAGACAGATAGACAGACAGAGAGTATAAAGAAATAATGAGGCAACACTAGTCAGCATTGACAGGCTGTGCTCTCAGCACACTAGCGGTATAATCTATTGTTATTTAGTACTAATCTTGCAGTAATTCCCAGAGACCTCATTTACAGAGTGGAGCATCATTCTCCTAGGTGTTCTACAAATATTTGTAAATATGGTCCCTGCCTCATTCCCCTAGATCATTAGACTGTAATATCAATGAAGATCAGAGACAGTGCAGCGTACCAGTCTAAGGAGGACCGTTTCAATTTTTTGGGTGCATACTTATATTTTTAAGTTTGTTACATGTGATGTATTTACCACTTCCTAGTTTGGAAGTGCTATTGCTGCTGAAAGAAAAGTATGGCCTTACATGCAACCTGAGGATGTTTCTTGGGAAAGCCTTGTGGTTCATTGATCCTATCGTGCAGAGGAAAGTGCCTACGGGTTTTAGCTGACAAAAGTCATCAGATGCACAAGAAAATGAATAGTAGGCAAAAGTGTTCTGGCTGCCCAATGTGAAAGTTAACATAGTACCTGGCTGCTCTATGCTTAGCTCTAGCTCATGAAAGTGAGGCTCTGACTATACATACAAATATGGTGTTTATTTAGAAAAGCAACAAAGAGCTCATTTCTTGGGCAGCAGCTTCAATATTTAAACTACAGAGGGCTGTTACAGCAGCATCACTGTATGCATTCACGACCCAGTGCAAAATGAGTCCGTCGTATTAAACCAATATGGCCTTTGGATGCAATATTCTTAATAATCGTATACAGCTTCCTGATCTCCATATTAACAGTTTGTGCTAACATAGTCTGACTGATCAGTTCTTGCACTGGTGAAGAGCTGGTGTTACAAATGCTCAACTGCTTATAGAAGCAGTTACAACAGGGAACAAGGAAGCTAGACCGGTGCTTATGCCTCTAGCACCTTTGGCCTCTCCCCATGCCTCCATAGCATAACCATTTGGCGCAAAAGCCCTCACCACTTTGAGGACAGAGCACTAAGAGGAAAGAATACCCATCAGTAGACCTTAGTGAAATATTTTGGACAAATAGTTTATTTGCCAAAAAATGCAGTTTTGGTCAATCCAAAACTATTTGTCAATTTGACAGGAATTTGCTAAATAGTTTCAGCCATTTTCCCCCCCAGGATTTAAACACCATTCACAAAGTGGAGAGGTGGGGAAGAAGAGGAGAAAAGGAGGAAGAAGAGCTAGTGGTAGTCCTCCCATACAACCATTAGCCCTGGGCTAGGGTACTCACCCAGGATGAGAGACACCCTCCCTCGCTCCTTTCTATTTAAAGTAGAGAAGGGATTTGAACTGAACCTCCACCCTCTCAGAAGAGAGCCATAACCATTTTTGATTCACCAAAAAAATCCAGAATTTTAAGTTCAACGAAACCTGAATTTCATTTTCAAGTTTTCAGAACTGCTAATGAACTAAAAAAATCATTTATGTGCCCAGTTCCATGCATCAGATGCACCATCTCAGGTCTTGGAGTTTCTTCTTGTGACATCACAAGTGCCATACTTATTTCCGTTGAAAGACTGGATTAATTGCTGAAAAAGATATACAGATGACTCTTACGAGCAACTGTGGGGTACTATCTATATTAATGTTGGATGGGAGAGTTATGGATAGAAGATATTTTACAGAGATGGGGAATTTAGAACTTTTAGGGTTATTCCAATAATTAAAAGGGGAAAGAAAATACAACTGTGCATTTAAATGAACCAATGCATTTGTAACTGTTGACAAAAAAGCTTTTATTAAAAGCAGAAAAGAGGATAGCAAAAAAACAGGCATGCGTTAAAACAAAACAGAAAATAGGCAAAGTTTAAAAAAAGGGAAAACTAAAAATTTGTGTACCAGCTTCCTGATAATTTTGTACCTTCATTTTATCCCCTCCTTTCCCTGCTTATCTTTTATTATGTTACACAGTTTTGTGTGTGGGAACCGTGCCCTAGGTTATATTACACATTATGACACAACCACTGTAATAGCTGAGATTGTTTTTCAGTCTCATCAGTCCACTGCCACCCACACATTCAACTCCTTACACTTCTTGGCTTGCTTTATAGAAAGATCTACTGACTGAAAGACATTCTATGCTACAAATGGAGTATGACTTAAAGAAATTAGGTGGCCAAAGCTCCTGTAGGTGAAAGCATAGCACAAGGACTGCAAAACAATATTGCTGGTAAGGACTCTAAACTGTACCACACCAAAATGGTTAAAATTTATTGTCAAATCTAAGGCTCTGTAATATAAAGGTGAAATTCTAACCTGCCTGGAGATTCAGTATCATACTAACCTGTCAGCAAGAAAGTGGCCAGATGGATCTTCAAAGTTTTTAGATACTTCATAATGGTCATAATGTCTATAAGCAAAAAATAAAATAGAATAAATATATGAAATAAGGTGAATTAAGTAAATATCAAACCCAAATTGGGAAGAGATGAAGAAATAAGGTACAAACAGATCCCTAAATGTACATAGCAAACAAATTCTAGGAGGCTCAGCTCTTGTTTCAGTTAGAAACAAAGTTGCATGACAGATACAGCTTTCAAAGATCTTTTATGAAGTCAGACCTACTGTCTGTAAATGACACTCATCAAACACTGATACCAAAGCTCTAACATTAGAGGAATATGTATATCTACAGCACGAATACAGCTTTTTGGGGGCAGGGGCCACATCTTCATACATAAAAAGAAAAGGAGTACTTGTGGCACCTTAGAGACTAACCAATTTATTTGAGCATGAGCTTTCGTGAGCTACAGCTCACTACATCTGATGAAGTGAGCTGTAGCTCACGAAAGCTCATGCTCAAATAAATTGGTTAGTCTCTAAGGTGCCACAAGTACTCCTTTTCTTTTTGCGAATACAGACTAACACGGCTGTTCCTCTGAAACCTATCTTCATACATGTTTGTATAGTGCCTAGCACAATGAAGCTACCATCCCAATTGTACCGGAAAGTATTAATATTGTTGTTAATACATTTAAAGTCCTACTTCAGCAAAGCAGTTTACACATGCTTAAGCACAACCCTATTCAGCAAATCCTTAAGAACACTCAAAAAATGTTTTTGTTTCTCTGATATTTTACTGAGAGTGGCACTTCTATGTTATTTGTAACACTAGTAGGTGAAACATTTTCAGAAAGGAATGTGTGTCCCTTCCTCCCACTCTCTTTACTCTTTAAAATAGACTGCTGAAAAAGGTAGTGGAAAGAGATTGTCTGAAATAAACAGATTTAGACTAGGTATTTCTAATATGCTGTGGTATCTAAGCTAATATAAATTATCTCATAAGATACTGTAGAATCTTTAATCCACAATTAATAGAAACATATTGCTGTGCTGGTCAAACCACTGCAAGATAACAGCAGTAAGTGTTTTGACTTAGGAATGCAGACATGCAGCTAGCAGGAAATAATTAACTCAGTATTTCATTATAAATCTCTACAGAAGTGTTGAACCACAGACTTGCAAATTCCCCATTAATGCTACATATTGTCCACAGAGCAGAGGTGGGCAAACTACTGCCCGCGGGACTGTCCTGCCTAGCCCTTGAGCTCCTGGCCGGGGAGGCTAGCCCCCTCCCCCGCAGCCATGCAGGCACCTCAGCTGGCTCTGGCCAGGCAGCCGAGCTGCAAGCTCCTGCTGCTCTGAGCTGCATGGTAAGGGGGTGGGCGGGGGTTGGATAGAGGGCAGGGGGTTCTGGTGGGGGGAACTTAGGGGACAGAGAGCAGTTGGATGGGGCAGAGGTTCTGGGGGGTGGGCGGTCAGGGACGGAGAGCAGGGGGGTTAGATAGGCATGGAAGTCCCAGGGGGCCTGTCAGGGGGCAGGGTGTGTGTGTGGATAGGGGTTGGGGCAGTCAGGGGGGTCAGATAGGGGGTGGGGTCCCAGAGGGACAGTTAGGGGCAGGGGGTCCTGGGAAGGGGTGGTCAGGGCACAAGGAGCAGGGGGGGTTGGAGGTTCTGAGGTGGGCAATCAGGGCGCAGGAAGTGCGAGGGGTGGACAGGGAGTGGGGGCCAGGCTGTTTGGGGGGGGCACAGCCTTCCCTACCTGGCCCTCCATATAGTTTCACACTCCGATGTGGCCCTCAGGCCAAAAAGTTTGCCCACCCCTGCAATAGAGATAGGTGATAACCTCAGAAGTTTTCATGGTAAATTTTCAAGTTTTTGGCCCAGCTCTTATCAGTCATGTTCACTTGCATAAACCCCTTTGAACAAAAACCTAGGAAAGCAAATAAATAAACTAATTTCATTAAAAGTCAAAACCACCAGCTTTAATTATGGGCCTGATTCTGTCAACCCTTACAAACCGTGAATAGCACTTTACTCTGACACTCAGTAGGATGATGAGCGAAATAAGGTATCACTCAATATAAGTAAGGATGACAGGCCCTTATGTTGGACTAAGGTACAAAATGTGTATTGGTATTGTAATGAGACATAGGTTTAGGTTGTCACAGAATGGACTCTGCTTAGTGACTTCATGTCTGTCTTTTCTCTTGATAGTCACAGAAACATATGTTTAATATGCACATACTTCAGGACATCTGCATTATCTTTGAAAATATACTTTTGAAAAGTAAATGCATCTCCCCAATTGTGAGTGCAGACCTTCGGTATTGGGGCATCTGTATTGGTATCTCCCTTTCTTTTTCCATGCGCCGCTTCTGCTCCTCGGCCTCTGCTCGCTGCTTCTGCTCCTCGGCATATTGTTGTTCCTTTTCTTTTTGCTCTCTTTCAAGCTCTAGTTCTTGGGCTTTCCTTTTTTGCTCCAAATGCAGGGCTTTTTCCTCTTGAAGTCTCCTTTCCTCCTGGAGTCTCCTCCTTTCCATTTCCTTCTCTTCCTCATTCTGCTGCGGTTCCCCCCACTCATGTCTTCTGCCTCCTTCAAGATCATCAGCGTCTTCTCCCACGTTTCTTCCCCAGCGAGAAATAGGTGGTGCATGTGCAGGTACCGATACTGTGTTGAAGGTTAGGACAGTCGGCTCCTGTAGGAGAGGAAAATAATGGTTTTAGAAACATGATAGCGCAGGCTACCTATTTAGGAAACATTTTGTTTTGTGACCAGGGACTTGAGGGGAAGGATCTCAGGGGACTCTCAGTGGCAACAAAGAGTGTGCTTCTTAGTTTATGCTTTAGGGACGCCTACACACACAGTCTTCTAAAGTGAGAAGTTCCATTCTGTTTGCTAGCCTTGATTACCCCGTTGCCTAGTCTTTCCAAAAGTGTCCGCAGCTTTTATTTTTTAAACCACCTTTATGCATGAAACACCCAACCTATACTTGTGCTTCAAGCCATTCCTTCTCCTCTTAAGTCCCTACACTATTTCCACAATAAGTGAGTCAGTGAATATTCACTCACTTTTTTCCTTATTTTACAGATTTTTAGAAACAACCTTAAGTGAACTACAGTGAGCACATATCTAAACTCAATATCCATGTTAACTGTACTGATGTAACCCTCATCCTTCAGCATCTAAAATTTAAGAACATAATGGGTCAGACCAAAGGTCCATCTAGCCCAGTATCCTGTCTTCAGACAGTGGCCAATTCCGGGCACTTCAGAGGGAATGAATAGAACGGCAGTCGAGTGATTCATCCCATCATCCACTCCCAGCTTCTAGAAGTCATTTCTGACACTGTATTTTTGTATGCACTCCTATGAGAAAGGTCTTTGAATAGTTTGTTTCCATGCAGGAAGCAAAATAACCCTTTGAAATGAAGGAATAATGTGTCAGCCCAGATCACACTCCCAGCACTTAACGGTTTAAAACAAAACGTCCTTGAGGGCTTCATAGTGAAAGACTTAACAGCTTAATTGAGGGACACCAGTCTTGCTGTTTAAGTTATATAAGCTTTAGATTTGTTTTGCTTTCCTGTTTACCACTGTATAAGCCTAAATACACTTGCAGGTACATCCGAAGGAGGAGGAAGTGCTTACTGAGCTGATACAGGAACAGAGAACATTGATGCCTCTAAAGCATCTGGAAACCCAGAATATAGCCTGTCCAGCTGTAGAACAGACTACAGCTGTAGAAGGAAGCAACTAAAGAAACTAGATACACTCTTGACATTTTGAGATATATGGAAGACTTCCATCAGCAAGGCTGCAGTTGATTTCTTCTCTAAATTCTTCAGAGGTAGGATGGCTCAGCTTTAAGACCACAAAGGTACTTAAGCACATGTCTTAATTTGAGTATGGGATAGTCCTAGTGACTTCAGTGGGACTGTTCATAGGCTAGAAGTTAGGTACATGCTTGATTACTATGCTGAATCAGGGCTGAAGTTGGTCATTTTCACTCTGGTCACAATGATATTGTATAAGCTGGGAACTGGCTTATAAAACAAAACATTTCTTGTGTTCATACACCTTAGCTGCATGTTGTCCTGCTGTCTTGAATGAGTCTAAACCGGGGTGGGCAAACTTTTTGGCCCACGGGCCACATCTGGATATGGAAATTGTATGGCGGGTCATGAATGTTCACGAAATTGGGGGTTGGAGTGCGGGAGCAGGTGATGGCCCTGGCTGGGGGTGTGGGGTGGGGCTGAGAGGTTTGGGGGTACAGGAAGGTATTCCAGGCTGGGACTAAGTGGTTCAGAGGGCAGGAAAGGGATCAGGGCTGGGGTAGGGGGTCAGGGTGCAGGCTCTGGGAGATGCTTACCTCAAGCAGCTCCCAGAAGTAGCGGCATGTCCCCCTTCCGACTCCTACACGTAGGTACAGCAAGGAGGCTCTGTGCGTGCTGCCCCGTCCGCAGGCACCGCCCCTGCAGCTTCCATTAGCCATGGTTCCTGGCCAACGGGAGCTGTGGGGGCCATGCTTGGGGTGGGGGCAGCTTGCAGAACCCCCTGGCTGCCCCTATGTGTAGGAGCCAGAGGGGGGACATGTTGCTGCTTCTCGGAGCCACGCGGAGCGGGGCAAGCCTCTGATCCCGCTCCCCGGTGGGAGCTTGAGTGCCAGATTAAAACGTCTGGAGGGCTGGATGCAGCCCTCGGGCTGTAGTTTGCCCATCCCTTATCTAAGCCCAACTGATCACAAAAGTAAACCACCAACTTTGTAGACAGTTATTTTTATTTTAGGAGTATTTATTCTCTGCATTGGGCAAATGAGAAAGCAAAAAAGTCATTTCCATATTTAAGTACCTACTTTTGCTAATGCTCAATAAAGGAATCGTGAGAAACTTGAAAGGTGAACACATACACATCGCCTACCTCATCTAAATATTTGGAACTCTCTCTTTCTGCTTCTTGCTGAGCCTGTAGCCATTCTTTCCGCAGTTTCTCCTGTTCACGTTTGTATTTCTCCTGGCAGGAAGAGTCACGGATTATATTAAAAGTAAATAAAAGCGACAGGAAAACACGACCTTCTTCATTTGTATTAAAATATTTGTTTTAAAACTAACCTTGTGCAAAGCAGTAAGTCAAGTAATAAAAAATCCTAATAGATTGCAGATGGCGAAATCCTGACCCTAATGAAGTCAAAGGGAGTTTTTCCGTTGACTTCAGGGGAGCCAGGATTTCACCCTAAGCCTCAGAAGACTCACCAACCTATAACATTTCCTATCTTATGATTTGTTTTTGGTTTAGTTATGAAGTTACCTCTACTAAGCTACAGTAATATCAATCTTAACTATTTAAAACAGGACTAAAAACCTTTTGCGTTGGTTACAAGTTAGTAATCAGGTTCCTTAGAGATGACCTCTAACTCAAGTCCGAAGCAGCAGTTGAGTTTAAATAAGAACCTGAACTTTTGGATACTTGTCTAAGCCAAAATCAAACTTAGTATATCTTTAGGATTTTCCCATCACTGGTTTTATATGTGATGAAATATCATACTGATGAAATATCAAGAGTCATTATTATTGGGCAGAGAATATAGGAGCTGGTGATTTTTGTCTTTTGCCATTCATGTCTGCAGAAGAACAGATCTGTAAAAGAATATCCTGAAAAGTATTAATTTTCATGATAGCGGAGATATTCCAGGCAAGTTTAGTGGCTTCTAGACTACCATTTATTTGGAAAAAAAAAATTGTCCCTGGGGTAGCAGAGAGAGAGAGAGAGATGGCATTGGAATTATGCGTTAGAGTGCTTCTGCAGAGCAAGAGGAGCAGAGAAGCAAAGTGAAAATGGTGTTGGCGTGCGCGTCTCTCGAAAAACAGAAATATGCCAGGTTTCATGTTCTTGAAGACCAGCCCTCAAAATTTTCCCTAAGCTATGACTGTCAATCATTAATTATATGTAGTGTTGTTGTAGCCATGTCAGTCTCATTATATGAGACACACAAGTTGGTGTTATTGGACCAACTTACCTCACCCATCTTGTGACTGATTATTTATTTATTATTATTATTAATATATCTCCAGAAGCTATTGGCATGGTACAAACACCGAGGGAGGCACAGATGAAGGGTAGGAAAAATATATATACAAGTAATATATATACACTATGTTTTGTTTTCATGTTGGGTTCATCATCACCCTGAATAGAATTCTGCAGGTTAAATTATACTCCGTGCAACCAATAATCTTTGGATGGTTAATGAATTTGCACGTGATACTGAGGATGTAATTTGAAGATAATGAGGTTGTACATGTTCATTGAAAGCAAAGGCCTCGATCCAGCAAAGCACTTAAACACACAACTTTACGCATAAGTAGTGCCATTCAGTTAATTTCACTTGGACTACTCACATGCTAAGTGCATTACTGAACTGAAGTCTATAATTTGCCCTGAAGAATCTCTCTTACTCATGATGCGTGGAGATGGAAACACTAGGGTTGCCAAGTTTCTAATCACACAAAACAGAACACCCTTGCCCTGCCCCCGCTCACTCCATCCCTTGTCCCTCCCCTCAACCCGCACTCACTTTCACCAGGCTGGGGCAGTGGGTTGGGGTGCGGGAGGGGGGTGAGGGGTTCAGAGTACGGGAGGGAGCCCTGGACTGGGGAAGGGGGTGTGGGGCTGGGCATGAAGGCTGGGACAGCAGGTTGGGGTGTGAAGAGGGGGTGATGGGTGCAGGCTCTGGGAGGGAGTTTGGCTGCAGAAGGGGGCTCAGGGATGGGGCAGGGGATGATGGGTGCAGGCTCTGGGAGGGAGCTCAGGGATGGGGCAGGGGGTGATGGGTGCAGGCTCTAGGAGGGAGTTTGGGTGTGGGAGGGGGCTCAGGGATGGGGCAGCAGGTTGGGGTGCAGGCTCTGGGAGGGAGTTTGGGTGAAGGAGGGAGTTCCAACTTGAGGCAGGGGGTTGGGGTGTAAGAGGGGGTTCAGGCTCTGGCGAGGTGGCGCTTGCCTCAGGCAGCTCCCAGTCATTGGCACAGTGGGGCTAAGGAGGGTTCCCTGCCTGCCCTGGCTTCGAATGGCTTCTGGAAGCAGCTGGCATGCCACAGTTCCTGGCCAATGGGAGCTGCAGAGATGGTGCTTGAGATGGGGGCAGCATGTAGAGCCCCCATCGCCGTCCCTGCGCCTAGGAGCCAGATGTGCCGGCCACTTCTGGGAGCCATGAGGAGCGACGGTAAGCAGAGAGCCTGCCTTAGCAACACTGTGCCGCCGACTGGACTTTTAAGAGCCCGGTCTGCTGTGCCAGGGTCCCTTTTCAACTGGGTGTTCTGGTCAAAATCCGGACACCTGGCAACTATAGGAAACATCCCAGCTTAATGCCAAAACTCAGGCTGGATTTGCAGGACTAGCAATTAGAAAAAGTATATATTTTGCTCATTCACTGAGCTACCGACAAATGAAAATCAGTAAGAATGAACATGGAGTCTCACAACGCCATTTTTAGAAAGCCTCTTTCAATGGGGAAGGAAATCAAACTGTACATTAAGACTACTCTAACAACAGCTTTTTGTGGCCATAAATATTTAACACTCTCTAAAGCTGACCATAAAGAACATGAAGTCTATTTTCTCCTTTTTTAAAAGGGATGTTAGAAGTGCCAAGTCACTCTATTCTCTGAGCCTCTACGCCACTGTGGTGAGTGACTGGTCCACTGCCATCCCAAAATATTGGGCTGTACAACACTAAGTTAGCACAGATGCATAATTCCCAGTAAAAAGCCTTGTTGGAAAAATTAGTACAATAGTAGCTGCCTTTTTTATTTTATTACTAGTATACTAGTCCACATAAAATATTACATTCCATTGCTTAATTTTCTATTGTGACTGAATCAAAAATACTGGAAGTGAAGGGGGTCACCTATTATAGAAAACTAAAATTTTAATCAAAGTTAATGAAGACTAAAAATTATCCTGTATAGTCCATACATAGCATTTAAAATTATTTTTAGTTTGGTAAACTACAAATATGTGTGAACTGTTCTTAAAATGAGCCTTCTCAAAAAATATTAATTAAAACTTAAAAGATTAATTTTAAACAAATCATTCTGAAATCAATTAGCTGGGTTATAAACCTGTAAGTAGAGCTGGTTGAAAAACCATTTTTTCTAGTGAAAATTATGAACAATTTTTTTCATTCAAACTTGTTGATTTGAATTTTTTGCAGGGAAATTTCAAAACAAAACAATGTATATCACATCAACATTTTGTTTCAATTCACCTTTCGGAACAGAACATTTTGATTTTCAGTTTAGTGATTTTTGGTGCATTTCCCCCTCACTTCCCTCACCCTCCTCCCCCACTGGGGTTTGTTTGGTTTTTTTTTGCCATTGTCTGCAATAAAACCCTAATTATTTTAATTTTTCCCCCATCCCTTCTTTTTCCACTCTAACTTTTCAAACTACCTCCAACTTTTGAAAAGTTACAGACAAAAGAATTTTTTTTTTGCTATTGTGTAACTTTTCCAGAATTGGGTAAGTTCAGAAAAGTAGGCCATCCAAAGTCTAATATTAATAATTGTTAATACTTCTGCAGCTTTTATTCATAGATCTCACAGCACTTTACAAACTTGAATGAATAGAATCATCATTGTACAAATGGGAGAAGTGAGGTGCACAGAAGTGAAATCACTTATCCAATGTTATACAGCATCTCAGAGGCAGAGTTGGGAACAGGGCCTAAGTCTACTGAATGGCAGTCCCATACCCTTCCCTCAGTCAAAGGAATCCCTATATAGAAGTAAATAGTTAAACTGTACCTGAAGTAAACGTTCCTGTTCTTTCTGCCATTTTTCCTGTCGTTTTCTCTCTTCTTCTTGGTCCCAAGTCCAACGACTTGGAGCATTAATAGATGGAACTGGGAGCTAAATCATCACAAAAAGAGGATGATTAATCCACTGTCATTTTAAAAACACACATTTTTTAAAAGCTAGACACAAAAACATTTATAAACATTAGCTACAACCTTAGAGCAATAAGAACCTACACACTTACAACAGTTAAATTGTAACCATTATTGCGAGCTTTAAAAAAGGTTTAATCAGCAATCTGGATAGGTGTCTGATCAAAATCAGAGCATGCAATGTAAGAACAATAGAAAACAAAAAGGTAGGGTTCCCTGAAACGAACAAAGCCAGACAAGCTAATAACCTCTTTCATAAAATTCATGTATAAGCAGTTTGTAAGCAGTACTCACATCAGACACTGCAGGCTCTGAGCCTCCTGTAGGATTTAGGGTAGGGAGGAGAAATAGAAAAAATGAAAAAAATATTACAATTATGTGTTATGAGGTTTGTTTAAATGTGGAAAGTTTCACTGGTATGAATTCCAGGATATAATTTGTTTAAACTGTAAGCCATACTTGTTTCATTTGACCCTATTCCCTTTATTTAGGTCAAGGAATATTTAGGGATCTTCAAACGAATACATATCTATCCAGGAAGTTTCTGAAAAGAGAATAACCCCTATAACACCTTCAAAATCTTTCAGATGCTATCTATAATTACTCGGTCTTGAATTAGCAGTACATCCCCAGCCTTGTAACATGAAGGACTAATTACAGTTTTCCCATAGCTACTCTGAAAAAATAATTCAATGCTGTTTCATAATCAAATAAGCTACTCTCTTAATCTAAACAATTTTGTTAGGATTCAGTTATACTGCTTATATATTCAGGATTCTAGAGACTCACATTTTACATGTATTAATACCAATATACCTTCCAAAAGCAACTAATCTTCCACTACTAACCAACATAAATACTTCCTACTCTACTCCCAGAGAGAGAGTATCTTCGACTTTTCCACACTGTATAGTGTGTGTCAAACCTGATATTTGAAGGTTGTCACTCTAGCTCTGAGCTTATGCCAGGGTGATAAAAAAAATGCATGAACTGCATTGATAAACTAAACACTGAGGAAAAACTGTGGGAAATACACTTGGTTGTTGTTTTTTTAAAACAAATTCTTGTCCATTTAATTTTGTTGTCCTAAATAATCAATAGTTTAGATCATGTTACTCACCCGCAAAATTTAATTAGTGGAAAAAAGTAACAGGGAAGCAACATATTGGAACCTATTATTTTCCTACAGTATAACAAAGCATGGTGGAGAAAGTGGAGCAAATTTGGTGTACAAAAATGTCTACCTACTCAGAGGCCTTATGTCAAATTGATATAAAAATGAACATACATTAATTATATATCTTCAAAAACAGGAATTTATTATTAGTGACAAAATTAAAGCTCCTTAAGTGAAGCTATTAACATACCACATATTTTAACTATTAATACAATATTTATGTGGATAGTAGTAGTATGCTTTACTATATGAAAAGATTTTTTTTTGTAAGTAAGGGGAAAAGGACTGCAAATAAAATACTGCTATTAAAGCAGAAATTTAGAAATGAACAGTATGAAGTGTGCAGTGGCATTTCAAATGTCACTTGACAAAGACAACCACCCAGTGAATTCCTAGCTCTCCTGGAGTCAATGGCAAAATGCCATTGATTTCCATGGCTCCAGAATTTCATCCTCAAGGTCTACAGCAAAATACTGAAACATACAAAAGAGCTTTGAAGACAGTGTTAGATATTCTACATTAGTGAAAATATGAGATGTGACATGCAGAACACACCAGAAAAGCAAGCCTACAAAACTGTAATGAGAGCTTTATTCTGCACACCTTAAAGCAAAATAATAATAATAATAATAAAAAAAATACAATGAGTTCTGCAAAATTTGTATTGCATTTTCTTTGGACTTGGTCATTGTTACCTACTTTATAAATGATAAGTTATCCATTTTATTGTATTCTATCAATTTGGACATAGATGTAAAGCAGCAGCTTTGAATAAATTGAATTTACTGTTAAATATTTTAAATGCTCTTTAGCCTCTGCATTAAAGCTGTGCTGGACTGGTCAGTTTTAAGCTGTTTTGTAGGGAGTTGCAAACCTGAAACAAATCTGTTACAAGTGGAAAAGTGTTTTGAACAGCATGTCAGAGGTTTAAAAGGTTTTTATATATGTACAAAAAAACATACAAAGACCCATTACCACAAAGGTAAACCCATGAATTGTAACAACAACCTGATGACCCTGGGGAAAGAATGGAAAAGGATTATGTTGCTTTGTCATGGTTGCAACAAACAAAACTGAAGAGGCTTAGTACCCAGCACCAGAGACTTATTAGGTAGAATGTACAGTGGGAACAATTTCATGAAAGTACATGAAATGTTAGATTTTTGTTTTACCTTGTTCAAAAAATTGTGACCGTCTTTTTAAGTTTTTCAAAGAAATAGGTTCAGATTCTATTTGAAAAATACAAAGAATACAAAGAAGTCAATACGGTGCTGTCTAATTACATATTTTTAATGACTGTCACCACTGAACAACAAATGACATTCATCAAACCTTTCCAATCTACAGTAACATCACTTAGAAAAACTGACAGAGAAAAGCTAACCTTTTGTTATAAGAAATGCAGATTTTTTTAGTAGGTTACACCACATAGAGATTAGTACTTCATTTTAGTACAATTGCTATCCATCTACTATAACAGCATGGTTGACTCACTTTCTGTGGGCCTGGAGATCTGGCAGCACCATTTTTCCTACCTAAGATCCCACCCAGATTTTAAAAGTCTCTTTGATAGATTTTATAAATTTAGATTCCTTGGCATCTCTTCTCCTCTACTACTCTCAATTTAACGGTGAGTCTAATACAATGGCACCTTTGCCTATGTATATATTCTCCTGTTCACAAGGCTCACCTATAATCCACCATGCACATTTACAATACTACACAATGTAATTGCATAAGTGGTTCCCATTAGGGAATTAGAATTCTATTAGTAGGTTTAAGTGCCTACTTTCCCTCCCCTTCTTCCCGTCCCCCCCAGGCTACCTTTGTTAACAGAGTCACTAACAATTATGGCACAGAGCCAACGATATGCAGTCCACATACACCCCCCCCCCCCGCCCCGAAAAAGTAATCACACTTGAGCTCTAGCAAAACAGAGATTTGGATGCTCTTCATCCCATGTCTCCAGGAAGGAGGTTGGAAGGGAGAGAAACCACATTTTCAAATTCTTAAAGGCAGAAGAAAGACTGATCACCGTAAGGCATCTTTATGTTATAACCACCATTGCAGAATGGAAAGGTGGAGTTAAGTTTCTGTGTCTTCTTGTTTCTCCTCTTTCATCCCTATCACACAGTCAGTCCACAACCAGTCATGCTGAGATCTAGGAACTTGTTATCAGTACTCTGTTTGCAGTTCTTAAACCATTCAATGCTCCCTGGACTAGAACTCCATGCCTCTCAGATGCAATTGGACTTACGTACTACACTTATAGCTTTCATTTTCTCAGAGGCCCAATATTTATTTCACTGTACTAGTAATATTTACAGGTATAATCTGTGTTCTCCTCTCTCTCAATTAGCAGCTGAAAATATTGGCAGTTTACCTTTTTGCTCATGAGAGCTCATATCTGCTTGCATTCCATTTATCACTTTTGCTCCAGCATCCTACAAATAGAAAACAATTTTAGTATAATTTCATATGAATCAAGTTTAACATTTCCTTCCTCCCATAGGAATTCCACACAGCAAAGGGTGTCAGGTTGTTATAAATTCCTCAAGTTAAACAAATTGTTTAAATCTTCTTGCATATATTTTATATAATAAAAAGACCGTAGGCATTTGCTAGGATTAATGACCAGTTGCAAGATGATGGCCCAAAAGGAAACCATTAATTCACCAAAAAAATGTCATGGGCCAAGATGGATACCCCAGTGTTTTGTTTATAAATAAAAGCACACAATTTCTGTTTCTTGGAATGGCAGTATTCATTTAAACTCTCACTGGAAATCCCTTCTACTGAGCATTTCTAAAGAATTCAGGCTCTATAAGGGTTATTATAATCAAAAACATGTTCTGATTAATCTTAAAACAGCCTTTAAATTGCTTTGTATTGATTACAAACTCATCTGGGCATACAGCAGTCACCCAAAATGTGTTATTGGCTTTAAACATCATCATCTCAGTATTAGTAGTATCCCATGTGTTTCCTATAGTATATGGAAGTAAACTGAACACAGCAAATCCTGCAGTAACTTTATCAAAGGCAAAATTGGCAAATTTTTAAAGGTGACCACTGCATGTACATATCTTAACAATAATTCAAGTACACAAACAATATAATGACAAAACCAAACTACTCCTCACTCCTTGTCTAATGACAAAAGCCACCATGTAAACATGTTCACACTTATTTTATTATGCAGCCAGGAAGACCAAACAGTATAATGTCATTCTGAATAAATTAGTAAATCTAAACTCTAGATCAAGGGGGGAAACAAACCCCTAGACTCAAAGAGGGCAAAGGGGAATCAGGGAACCCTCTGATTCTGTACTGGTCTCGTGTTGACATCTAGAGCAGCCTAGTGGCTGCTCTAACTTATATCAGTGGAGGACTGAAAAAACGGAGATCCAATCTGCCAAGTGCCCAGCCCACTCCTATCCTGGGGTGAAAGTGCCATCTAGCACAAGAGCTGCCACCGCTAGGTTTAGATCAATGGAGAGTTCCTCCCCACAAGTGGAATCCACTGGCTATTTATGGCCAGAATATGGCTCCTTTGTGCCGTCATTCTGGAGAATGTGCCCCTATGTCTGAAACTACATCAGTGCTCAAATAATTTTTATTATACCATGAAGTGTTTGTGTATTTATGAGGAAATCAGTTACCTAAAAATGTAATTGCTACCAGAACAAAAATATTGCTATCGTATCATTCTGTGACTCCATATAATATTACACAAATTTTGTACAGAAATAAGTTAGACACACAGGAATTAAAATATTTAACTGAGATTCTAGTATTCTAATTAGAAAGCAAAATGAAAACTGCTTTCCTGGAATTCCTACAATTACTTTCTTATTCCTCTGTGAGGCCTTAAAGCTTTTCCTTCATTTCTCCTCCCAAACACCCAAACACCCTTCACCCCCTGAAAAAAAAAAATCTTACAGAATTTTGAAGGCTGTAGAAGAAATCTCTTTTGGCTGATATGTTTGAAGAGTTGGTAGAATTGTGATCTCCAGAAGTTGCTTCAATCCATTTATTTTCAGGTGTACCTACAATGTTGGTAGCCATACTGGTGAGATTGAGGATTTTATGCCTTACATATGGCAGGGAAGGCTGGTCTTTGCCCCAATCTGATTGGCACATGGAGATCAAGAAATGAATGTGGACAGAAAAGTCAAAGTATAAAGAACAAAAGTTAGTGAAAACACATTCTCATTTTAAAAAAAGACAAGAAGAGAGAGAAAGATGAAGTAGGTAGAATTCCTAAAGACAGGAAATGGTTAGGGCTTTTATAAATAGACCAGCTTCCCATAACAAGCAAGAGTTAGTCAAAAGACAGGCTTGAGAAATACCAGCAAGTTTACTAAGATTCATTACATAAATATGAAGTTCTGTAGTTCAACATTACAAATATAGATATTAATATTCATTGAAGTTATTTTTCCACAACATCATTGGTAAGGATAAAAGTTATCTCACCTATAATCAAGCCTTAGGGGGAGTGAGCAGTAAACTGTGTTTTAACTGACAGACACACTGCTCCTGGAATATTATCTACACATTTTACAGGAGTACAATCCACCAAATTCGCCCCTGCAAATGTATGGATGGATGGTATAATCCACACTACAATTGATTAGACCACACAGGTAAAGAATTTTAAGTGGCAGACAGCACCCTTAACTGTATAGTAACTAGGAAGAGAAACTGTCCTCACCTTAACTAAACCAAAGCAGCAAAATGGGTAAGGAGATGGCTACCCCTGGCCTAACCTCTACATTAACCTCAATCAGGAATTCAGCCCAGGAAATGGACTCCCACATCATCTTCCCCACATGCAGGACATGAGTGTATAAATGAGAAGTGCCTCAATTTACAAAGATGACTTAAAACCACTCAAAACCCCAAAATCAATCAAGGTCTCTGCGAGAAGCCTCCTGGGTTTATCCCAAGAGCTGACTTCATTACCTTCTAGCCTACCCTGCACTGGACACGAGACAAGTTGTGACAGACCACTTTGTTTGTTTTTAAACTAATAACTTTTTCTACCTACCCCAATGCATGAACTTCCATGCTCTAATGGTGAATGCCGAACATTCATTGCACATCAGCCATATGTGGGCAGAAGGAAAATCCTTTCCTGATCCAAAAAAGGGCCAGCACCAGGGCATATCTGGATTCCTGGCAAGGCAACTTCACAACCCAGAAAGAATGTAAGGGTATGTCCATGCTGCAGGGCCAGTATGGTGCTACCATGAGTAGGAAGGAATTTTTAATGCCAAATGGATGGGCTGAATGACCTAATCAGCTCTTACAGCCCTCCCCTGAATGGGCCAATCATAACCCAGAGGGGCAATGGCAAGATCTGCACTCTCCCTCCCCACCAGCTGCGCATTTCACACACATCGTCCATCCTGAGGGGGACAGTGTGCAATGTTATATCAGAAAAGGCGGGCATTGCTGCCTCCCTCAGATGCCAGCAAGGATCCTAGGAATGGACATCCCCTCCAGGTCTGACAGAACTACCTTCTACCCCTAAACTGAGGTGGCAAGAAGGGGGCATTTTCAATTCCTTTCTGTGGTGCCCTTATGGATCTAACAAAATAATCTAGGACGTACATGCAACTATGCATTCCCTCAAAAATTAGACCAACGCAGAACAGAGTGGTCACCAGTTTAAGGTTAGCAGACTTGCTAGTGAAGTTATTTGCGATACGAACTATATAAAAAAGAAACCCCAATTGTGTTATAATAAAACAGACATACTAACAAAGCACATAGGTTCAGAAAAGGTGTTATTGAAGCAAGGACTATAGGCCCCAACCCATCAGAGCAACTTCACTAAACACAAAGCTTATTCACCTTATACAACATGCTGTAGTTGGCCCAGTGAAACAACTCACCATTTTTTCCATATCGTCTGACATCCATGACCAAGTTTCCAGTTTCTAGTGCATTGGCCATGGCTTCCTCCCACTGATTATGGTCCATTTGTGAAACTCTTGTGCCATTAACAGCAATGATTTCATCATCTACTTGCAGCTGGCCAAGGTCTGCAGTGCTACCTAACAGATCAGACAAAAAATTCCTCATGTTTGGGTATACTTAAACACTTCTACTACAGTCAGGATGTGAAAAGTGGCTATTCAGTTTGTTTCCTGAAAAAAAAGGCTTATCGTTCTCGGCAAATGGGAGCTGCGGGAAGCGGTGGCTGGGCCCACACCGCTTCCCGCAGCTCCCATTGGCTGGGAACAGCGAACCACTCCATGTCTAGTTGGCAGCTGGTATCGAGCGGAGTGCTCCAAGGGTCAGTCCACGGGCCGGTTTTGTTCAATATCTTCATTAATGATCTGGAGGATGGTGTGGATTGCACCCTCAGCAAGTTTGCAGAGGACACTAAACTGGGAGGAGTGGTAGAGACACTGGAGGGTAGGGATAGGATACAGAGGGACCTAGACAAATTAGAGGATTGGGCCAAAAGAAATCTGATGAGGTTCAACAAGGACAAGTGCAGAGTCCTGCAGTTAGGACAGAAGAATCCCATGCACTTCTGCAGACCAGGGACCCAGTGGCTAGGCAGCAGTTCTACAGAAGAGGACCTAGGGGTTATAGTGGACGAGAAGCTGGATATGAGTCAACAGTGTGCCCTTGTTGCCAAGAAGGCTAACAGCATTTTGGGCTGTATAAGCAGGAGCATTGCCAGCAGATCAAGGGAAGTGATCATTCCCCTCTGATCGGCATTCGGGAGGCCTCATCTGGAGTATGGTAGTTTTGGGCCCCACACTACAAGAATGTGGAAAAATTGGAAAGAGTCCAGCGGAGGGCAACAAAAATGATTAGGGGTCTGGAGCACATGACTTATGAGAAGCAGCTGAGGGAAATGGGATTATTTAGTCTGCAGAAGAGAAGAATGAGGGGGGATTTGATAGCTGCTTTCAACTACCTATTGAAAACAGCTATCAAATGATGGAGCTTGGCTATTCTCAGTGGTGGCAGATGACAGAACAAGGAGTAATGGTCTCGAGTTACAGTGGGGGAGGTTTAGGTTGGATATTAGGAAAAACTTTTTCACTAGGAGGGTGGTGAAGCACTGGAATGGGTAACCTAGAGAAGTGGTGGAATCTCCTTTCTTAGAGATTTTTAAGGTCAGGCTTGACGAAGCCCTGGCTGGTTTAGTTGGGGATTGGTCCTGCTTTGAGCAGGGGTTGGACTAGAGGACCTCCTGAGGTCCCTTCCAACCCTGATATTCTTTGATTCTATGAAAGACAATGGGAGAAAGCTGTCAGTTTCAAAGATCCTGGATTTTGTCTCCAACCTTGTTTTTCCAGGCAGGGAACTAGACATCAAAAGACTTGACTGAGCTAAAATATGTCTTCAAAGTGAGTGGTGTACTGCTGCTCAACTGGAGTAGCAAAAGAGGGCATGGAATTGCATGTGGGAAAAAGCTAGAATTTCAAATAAGCCTCCAGGAAAAAAGTTGAAGAATTCAAGGTCACACAAATCCTCCCATACCACCACCAGAAGGTAACATATCCAGGACCAGACCAACCAACCAAATTTGAAGCAATGGCACTTGCTGGGGTCTCCAGATTACATCTGTAGACATATATCAGATGACCACTTGTGTGTTCTGAGCATTTTTTCATTCCAGTGCACAGGCTTTTATATAAAGATTGAAGCACTTAGTTAAGGTATTTTTTTCATATTTTTCCTGCAGATAAAAGGTATTTTCCTTTCTAAGAAGTGTAAATATTGCCATTTTTCTACTCTTATTTTTGATACAAGTATTTCTTTAGTTCTATTTGAGCATTATGGTAGCAAACTAATGCTCAGCTAGCTTCATATAGTAAAATTAAAATATTTCTGATTTACACTGAAGAGCATATAAAGACAGCCCTTTGCACAAAATAACAGACTTAGCGTCAGTGAAAACAAATCTAAATTGCCTTTTGGATAAAGCAGTTATCAATTGTTTTAGCCTGTTTTATCTGAAAGGAGCAAGCCATGATTAACAGTGATTTAAAACCTGGCCTTAGCTTTCATTTTAAAGTCAACGTATAAAGTGATTGTTACAATTATTTTTCTCTCTGTGAAAAGAAATGCAATTAAGTGCCAATCCAATGTGAAGCTTCCAATGGTGTCTTCTCTGCTCTCATTTTAAGCCTGTCTCATTGAAAGGTAATAGTGTAGTTGTAAGCAAGGACATTATCGAATATGGGGTGAATGTTACTGAAAAAATATCCGTGTACTCCATAAGACTTGACAGTTTATAGTTTTGGGGGAAGAGGGAGTTGGATGAATTATTGATAGGAGAAATTTTTAAAATAAACAACAATGTAATACAAATCATTTTAATTTGTTCGTTAAAACAAACCGCAAGAAACTTAAGAGATATTGATTAAAGAAAGATTAATTTCCACAGGAAAAAAATGATTAATCCTGGATATTAGTAAATATCTGAAGAAAATGGTACTATAATTTATGAGTATTTATTCCAATACCAAATGAAACTCAGACTAATTCCTTTTTGCTACTTCAATAAAAAAATATTTCATGCAGATAATTTAGAAGCTACAATTACTCATGGAATGTAATATTTTACAATCTTTAACATAGTGGAGGAAAGGAAACCTGAAATTAAAAAAAAAATCTGCTCAAAAATACCTTTCCTATGCACCTGTTTATAGGTTGTAGGAAGTGAAACCTTTTAAAATATACTCCAAGAGAGGAGCAGTCTATATTTTATATGCATGCCCCTGTGACATCCCTAAGTAATTGTATTTAGCAGACATTCTGAAGCCTTAGAATAATGTCTGGTAAATAAACCAGAATTTACACCATTGCTATGGATTTAAGACTTCTTTACTTCAGAATACACTTTCAAATATTTCTAAATTAAACCAATTGTAGTGGATGAAGATACAAAGGAATCGTAGTGTATTTAGCCTTTAACAGTCAAATGCTGTTTTCTTTTCACTTTCTTTCCATCTAAATTCTTTGGAAGAAGATTTTTATTCATCATTAAAATGAAATGCCTGTGTCTAGCAGTCTCAATCCATTAACAGTAAGAGAAAAGTTCATAAAAGGGTTAAATATTAGTTTACCTTCAATTGTCTGTACAAAAACCCCAGAAGGTTTCCAATTTGTGGTGAACCCAAAGTTCCGACTGTTACCAGATCTCTGGTTTATACTGATTCTCATTTCACTGTACTTGTCCTGAAAAATAAAACATGACACTGCACTATCGGGTGTCACAGGCATCTACATGAAGGAAAGTTTATCCACTAAATAAGCGAGGCTACTCACAACATATGCTTTAATTATCTATTAACTGACTATAAAGCGGTTTTCTTTGTAGAACATGCTAACTAGGTTTTTTACTTAGAAGACATTTAGTGTACACACATATTTAACTGTGTGTAGATATTATTAAATTCGTCATAGCATGCTGCTTAGTGCAAAATGCTTTAATAAGAGTTTATAGGAATTAGAGGACAGTGTGACACCATGGAAAGTGAAATGGACTGCTAGTTTACACAAATTGTATCTCAGGAGACCGATTTATTAAATTAATTATGAAAGATTTGAAGAAATGGAAACCCTAAATGGGTCGTCATACATAATATAGTTAACCTGTGGAATTAACTGCCTCATAAGACTGAAGCTCATAACCTAACTGGAATTTGAAAAAGCTGCATAAAATGACTCATTTAATCTGTACATTGTGCATACTAAGGCAGGGGTAAGCCATGCTCCTTTAGGCCCCAATCCTGTAACAGAATCTATTAATGTGGACAACTGCCTCTGTGTGGAGTTCTAATGAATGGGTTCTGTATAAGCACAGGGAACTTAAATTGTAAGCAAATTACTAGAGCAGCTCAGAAACAAAAATTTCCATTCCCTGGGAAATTCTAACATTTTGAAATTTACCATGAACAAGAATTCTGAAAAATTCAACTCAGAACTACGAAAAATATTATTTCATTTTGATAATATTGAAACACTACAATATAATGTAATATGATAGAATATAAACACTGAAAAAATTGACATTATAAAAGTCAAAGTGAAATATATGTTTCAACATTATCAAAATGAGAAAATCATAACACTTCATTTAGACTTTTTTTGGTTGAAACTGTTCCTAAAATGGACATTTCCACAAAATGAGTATGTCAGTACTAAACCCTTTACTGGGGCAGAGTAGGCCACTATTGCTGTATTACATACAGTATAATACAGGAGATAACCAGTTCGTACGAATGAGCAGCAAGCAGCAACAGGTCCAGCACCGTCCCTGGTGCAAAGAAGGAACTGAGGGTGAGGAGAACTGGCAGTGCCCTATATATCACGGATACTGCTGAGGGAAAAACTTCCCGCACCGGTGCACGTGGCGAGCACACACGGCTAAGTTGAATGGACATAAGCAAGCACTCAAAGAGGAATACAAAGATCTGCATAATTCCTGGACATTCTACACTGTTCTGAGTAGCAACTGTCCTCAAATCTCCATCCATATACTTACAAATTTTGTCATCCTAATTTCTGGCCTCTACCCTCATCATGTCACTGTCTAACCCCACATACATTAATATCAAAACAATTCAGTGAGAGGAATTATTCTAATTAGTGATGGGGGAAGAGCTAAATTATAATGAGCAAGGAAGAGCAGGGAAAATATAGCGAGTAATAAGACTGGGTGGGATGACACGATGAAAAGGGTGTTCCAAGCAGAGGCAGCCATATGGTTGGGCAAGTCTGACAGCGATAGCCAGTTGTGCAGAGGGGTTTACAGTAGTCAGAGCCCAGGCTGCAGAAGAGGAACATACTACAATACATCAATATGACATTTCTACCTGTTTACCAGATAATCATCTTGGCCAATAAAGTCACAGACACTCACAGTATATAAGTCCAGGACAGATATTTCTGAGTTAATTATTAGTCCAAGATATAGCTATTAGCTTATAGACCAGTAAATGTCCTTATATTATTTAAATAGGCTTTTACTTTTCTTGCTATACAACTGATCTCATTAAATATAAAGAGAGCATTATACTAAAGTTAATGTAAGTATATTGAGTAAGTTCAATACAGTATCATATATTAAGAACGCTTTTGGCTCTTAAATGTTCCATAAATGTAGGGTGGATAAAAATCAATGATATTTTTATTTAAATTAAATACATTTTTCTTTTTCGAAATAAACCTACTTAAATTTAAATTTGAAATTATGACAACATATGCTAAAACCTAAACTTAGTATAATTTATGAAAAAATCATTTAAAGTTTTAATGCAAATCAAACTGCTGAACTAGGAGAAGTCACTAGCTAAGCACTGAAACCAGACAGTTTGTTGAAGTACTAAACTAGCATTTGACAGCAGTAGTCTCTTCTGCAGGTGCAGAGAGATAATTTTCTTCATTTCAATTTATTCAACTAGTTCAGTTCAATAACAAATGGGAACATAGGAAAACTTGTTTTCCTCTTCTAATCCATGGATTAAAACTAGGTACAAGAGAGCGAGTTCTACTAGTTCTAAAGTTTTGAAGGACATGGTGATCAGAAACAATCATTTCAATTTACTAATCTATAGATACAACTTACTTTGCTCAATAAATTAATTCGTTTTAATGCAAAATATGTTTTGATAAGGAAAAAAGTTTACATATTCAGCATATTTAAGATAGCATTTTCATGATCTTTTATTAGTTAAATAAACCTATTTTTATTGAATTCGAATTTCCTTGCAAATCAGTCTAGTAAATAAGAAATGCACCATTCACCATTTTCTATCATAACAAAAAGTAACAATTAAGAACCCGAATAAATGTATGTTAAGCTATATAATTGCTTAAATAAATGAGTGTAGATAGTGTATTCTCCTAATTAGCAAAAGTAGTATCTAATTTAGTGTATAGACTAGATTCATTTGCATATCAACACACACTGATATGCAAATAAACTAATGAGACTCAACCTTTCTTCAGGAAAATAACTGAAAAATACAATTGCAGAATCAGTTAAACTTGATTATTTAAATCAGTGATTTAAATTGCTCAGATTTATATCAATCCACCCTGCAAGAAGGGCTCATGTCTATTATTTTCGTCTCCTCAATCTGAAGATGTGTTCTGTCTCCTCAAGCCCAGCTGTCAACAGAAGGGCAATCCGGCTCCATGCACTGAACTGCACCATTTGGTCAGGTCCACCCCAATGCCTACAGTGCTCTACAAACTCTGCATGAATGGTTCAGTGGTTCACAGAGATACCAGTCTCTCACTTGGCTGTGCAATGCCTTTCTAGCACACAAGGGGACATCTCAATATATGGGAAAGGAGTTCCCACCTTAACTATAGCTTGTTTGACACATGCTGTATTTAAAAAAAAAAAAAATCCTCATTTGCCAGGCAGGAGAGTTTACCATCACGTACCTGATAACCAAGCCCCAGCTAGGCTTGGTCTGAGTTTTGATACAGAGAATAAAATGAAATCTGATCCAGAAAATTGTTTCTATTCAGCTCACATGAGCCACAAAAAAGGACCCATATCTAACCTAATATAATTCTTTTTACTGCAACGCACTGAAACTGTCTCCTCCCCCTACATGCCACAATCATGCTGTCAGAACCTTTGATTAAATAAAGTAGGATGACAGGCCCGGCAGCGATGCTAGGAGCCTGTGGTGTAAGCTGAAAAATACTTCATTTCAAAGTTGTTGTTTTTTAAAAAAAAACTGTTCAAAGTAATATTTGCAAATCTATTTTAAAACAAAAATAGAGCAGGAAGTGTTTGAACCATTTGGAATTCAGGGTCCTGTATTTTCCCTGCAACAGCTGACATAATTGCTATCTACAGCAGCATAAACAATGTAGAGAATGCAACTCCCAGCATGATCTTGGGAGTTAGTGAGGTTGTCAACTGTTGCAAGAAGCTACTGACAGCTGACACTATTAGTATTCAGGTTACATTTGAAAGAAGGGACTGAGGGCAGGAAACAGCAGTCAGTAGCGGAAGGATTATGGCACCTTATGTGCCCCAGAGCTCTTAAAGTAGAGCACAAGACCTAACTTCTGAACCAAAGTTGGAAACTTTTCATTAAACAGGCAACTATTGAGGAAGTGATTTATTTTTAAAAGTAATTCGTGAATACAGTCATTAGAGTAAACCAAATAAAAATTATTGTGTTTGTGTGGAGGAGGGGGGTGGGGAGAGACACAAAAAAACCATGCCTCAAGCCATTGCAGTAAAAAGTGAAACCTAGAGTGATGCTTAGCACATTTAAAGGTCAGATTTTCAGAAGCTGCCATTCATTTTGCCACTTAACGTCTGAGGGTGCAAATAAACGCTAGTGCAAATAACCTAATTAAACCCACAAACCAGATTCTTCAATGTCCTAGTGACCTTAATTGCTGCTGCAAATAACAGAGTACAAAAATAGAAACCTGCTTGATGCTAAGCTGAAAATTTGGCTCAATTTTCACAAGAAACAGAGTCAAACTCAAAACAGAGAAAAGAGGTTTAGAAAGATTGTAGTAATTAAAAGAACAAATTACACAGGCCAAGTATTCTTTTTTTCATCGTCCATGGGAAAGAGAAGTGCTTCTTAAGCGAAATGGGTTAGCTGTTTATCTGAATACCTCTCATTGGTGAAACATGTTAGCCTACGGTTTTAATAATCTTTGTTCACACAGTCCTAGTACTACTAGGTTACTGTGGGTAATTATATACTTTTCAAACTCACCTGTGACACTGAAACCTCTGACTCTGGCAGGTTTCTTATTTCTGCAGAAGCTGCAACTGTAACAGGGTCAGGATGAGTATAATACTCTGATTTAAGATCAGGGGACACTGCATCCTGGTATTGGGATGTAGCAGAAGCTCTCAGGGTAGGAGACTCTTTTCTTTTAATGCTTTCCTTTTCTTCCTCACCACCACTTGTCATTGCATCTGCGGAGAGAAGTGGTCCTGCTTCCAGTGTTGAAAATGAATAGCTGGTGAGCAAAGTTTGAGATCTCTTGGCTCCATCTACTTCTCCATTATATTTCTGGACATCGTCCACCTGGAATGAAAATGCTGTTGTTTATAAAGGCACATGCTGCTTTGTTTTAAAGCATAAAAGCCTCAAGTTTGGTTCTCAACAAATTAAGCTAAACAGTCCAGAGAGCTCAGCCCAGAAGTTTTTTTATCTTTTTCTCCATCCATTCTTTCAATGCAATTTCCAATTGCCACATGCACTACCCTATTATCCACTATTACTAAAAGAGCAAGATGGGTTATTTCCCCTTGTCAGATGCATGTGAGCAGGATAACTAATTCAGGTCTGGATTTAAAAGAAATGCATTAAAATAGCTTTTAGCACATCAGTTTCAAATTTAGGGCAGCTAGGGAATTATGGAAAAGACAATACAATTTATGCAGATATGCTGATTGCCCATATTAGGTTTCATTAACAAGGGGCAGATGCTCAGCTGGTGTAAAATTGTTCTCGTTCCATTGACTTGATGGAATGACAATTTACAGCAGCTAAAAGTTAAATTATGCTAAGCAAGCTTCAGAAAAATGTACTGATATGTCAATAAATTTTCTGGCAAGAAAACACGAACTTTTACAAAAAATATTGTATCAATATATTTATCAGATGCCTATTCATAGGAAACAGATGGTCATTTTAAGTACATAAACATCAGCAATTGTTTAAGCACTAACAGAATTATCTGCTCCATTATTAATACATCCTTTGTTAAACAGGGGCAGGAAATTTAAAACTAAATGCATGAAAAAGTTAAAACGGTATTGGGTTAATTATTCAAGATAGTAACATTCACAAACATGAAGAAATTGAAGAAATTTTACCGTAAATGATCTGGGAAGTGATGAAATTCCTCTTGAGTGGACACTAAAAGGTCTTGGTGTAACCACAGATGTTAACCTAGAGGTATCTGTTTTCTGGCTACTTCTGGGGAGAGAAGCTGAAACCCGAGCTGACCCCATTTGTGCATTCACTGAATGGTGAGTAGACAAAGGGACTGAGCTCTGTTCTTCTAATAGGCTTTTAGATGGAATTTGAGTTTCAGCTGTTGCATAGATCTCTAGCTTTTGAGAATTCTCTTTGTTAGTTTGTGCAGCATATGATTTTTCATTCTTCTTAAAGCTGTAAGAGGCATCTTTTTCGACAAGATAATCTTTTGCTACTGATGGTCTGGAAGGATGTTTTTCTTCACTAAATACATCATCTGATGAATACATTCGAGTGCGTTCACTCTTTTGCTGCATGTCGCTGTAGGATCCTTGATCTCTGTTCTCCCTAAGGAGACAGAGGACTCATTAACATACCAAAGGAGTGACCTGGAGAATACATGGACTTTAAGAAGTCTTTCAGCTATGAAATGCTCAAAGCAAAGACTGAACAAACTATGAAAGTCTTCCTGTTTAAATGAAAATGAATCTACCTCTAATCAAAAATTCAAATTCTTTCTTTTTTTCCACATTTTAAAATGACTAATGATATTTTCAAGTTGTAAACTGTTATGCCAAGAATGACCTTTTGCCTGAGAAAGCAATACAACTAGTTCACGTAAAAATGCTTGAAAGACTAGGTTTTCATTTTTAGGGGTTTTTTTTTTTACATCTTACTTTATTTATTTTTTGATGTTCGGCAAGGGGTGGATGCCGAGTTAGATTTGGCAAGGTGGAGGACCTTAATAGCACTATAGAGTTTGGCTTACACTTTTCAATCTAGCTACTGTACTAGAATGGTATACCAATTTATAGAGAACACATTTTAGACATTTGCTAGCACTTAAGTGGAAGCTTGGTTCCTTGGCACACACATTTCCTTATTCTGTGAAATGAGAAAAATATTATTTAGAAAACAGTTTTCAAAAGTTTTGGTAATATTGATATTAAATATGAATGTCTGTGTTATGTTACTGAACAAGATGTCATTTCTATCCTAGAAATAAAAACAATGGAAATTAAAAGTTTCTGAAACTCAAAATATTATATTTATGTTTTAAAAGTATCCTTTAAATTTAGTTTGTAAGTGTATGCAGCATGTATATATACCTAAACACATATCCCATTGATTTAAACATGGATGTCAGTGCATTTATAAAGCCACCACTTATAAGGCAAATGGTGTTGTTACTCCATTTAATTTCTGCTTATTTAGAGAGCAGTCTTAAAAATATTTACAGTCTGCTCATTCTGTAAACACCAGAAGGATTCATATAGCAACAGCATAGGGGAAAATTCAAGTGAAATCTTAATCCTGCTGTTTTGCAATATAAACAAAAGCCCTGGCTATGTTTACTCAAATGGCTAAAAAAGAATTTCAGTTGCAATATTAATGCAAAGAAAAATACACAGTCATAGTAAATCAGACAAACAAGATTATTCATTCTAGATAATTGTTTTTAGACCTGTTTAAAAATATACTCTTAAAGTGAATGAAGTTTGATTTCAAAGCAACATTTATTCCTACTTTGTTTCACTCTGCAAGTTACATTTTACTTTACTAACTTGCTTTAACTTCCACTTTAAAGAGTTTACTAGTATCTGCCTTTCAGTTGTTTAGATTTCTGCATTATATAAATGGACCCAAAGGTCAGTAAAGAGTAGCTTTATCAAAATATATTCTTCAAAAAAAGGTGTACTGAGTTAGTTCTATTTCATATATGAGCACAATTAAAATGCTAGTTAAAGCTGCTCTAAGATTAATTAACACATATGCTCAAACGTAAGTAATGCATACAACATCTCCATTAGGTGCATTACCTGTCCTGCTGCATTTCTTTCAGTGACTTGCTATTTCTTTCAGAAGTCTCAGAGGCTCTCCTTTCGATTTCTTCTCTCTCCTCCTTTTTCTTTTGCAAATCCGAAGTGAAACTTTTTCGACGATTTTTCCATTTTGCTAGATCCTAAAACAAATCACATTAATATATGAAGATCTGATTTTCTAGAGATCTCGAACAACTACTGAGACTATCCCATTACATTGCTTAGACTGCTCATTCCAACTGGATACCAGTGTCTCCTAATTTTGCTTTATAAAGCCTGCTTGTCTGCACCAAGTCTAGAGTCTCATGTGTCTTCCTGAAAAATCTGAACCAAATGATTCTGACTTAAACGTTTCTGAGACGGACTGTGTTTATATTTTTCAGGTAAGGTGGCCTGCTGCCTATCGTTAAGTAAGGGTAACAATTGCAATTTTACACCATAAAGAAAAAGTGCAGTTTTCCTTTTAACTTCTTTCCAGTCACCTCTGGCAGATGAAATTTAATGTTGACAAATGCAAAGTAATGCACGTTGGAAAATGTAATCCCAACTATACATATGAAATGATGGGGTCTAAATTAGCTGTTACCACTCAGGAAAGATCTTGGAGTCATTGTGGATAGTTCTCTGAAAACATCCACCCAATGTGCAGTGGCAGTCAAAAAAGCAAACAGAATGCTGGGAATAATTAAGAAAGGGATAGACGATAAGACAGAAAATATATTGCCTCTATATAAATCCAGGTACACCCACATCTTGAATACTGTGAGCAAATGTGGTCGCTCCATCTCAAAAAAGATATATTGGAATTGGAAGAGATTCAGAAAAGGGCAACAAAAATTATTAGGGCTATGGAATGGCTTCCGGATGAGGAGAGATTAATAAGACTGGGACTTTACAGCTTGGAAAAGAGATGGCTAAGGGGAGATATGATTGAGGTCTATAAAATCATAACTGGTGTAGAGAAAGTAGATAAGGAAGTGTTGTTTACTACTTCTCATAACACAAGAACTAGGAGTCACCAAATGAAATTAATAGGCAGCAGGTTTAAAACAAATAAAAGGAAGTATTTCTTCACACAATACACAGTCAACTTGTGGAACTCCTTGCCAGAGAATGTTGCGAAGGCCAAGAACATAAGGTTCAAAAAGGAACTATATAAATTCATGGAGGATAGGTCCATCAATGGCTATTAGCCAGGATGGGCAGGAATGGTGTCCCTAGCCTCTGTTTGCCAGAAGCTGGGAATTAGCAAGAGGGGATGGATCACTTGATGATTACCTGTTCTGTTCATTCCCTTTGGGGAACCTGGCACTGGCCACTGTCAGCAGACAGGATACTGGGCTAGATGGACCTTTGGTCTGACCCAGTAGGGCCATTCTTATGTTATGTTCTCTTCAATATTTATCTAAAATGTAACAGCAATGCTTAACTGGATATTAACTTTAAGTGAGTGAGAGAGAGAGTGAGTGTAAAATACAGAAAAGTAAAGCAACATCTGAATGGATTCATGTATGGACTTGAGTATATACCCGCCTTAAATCCTAAATAGAAACTGTGAAGTATCAGCCTAATTTATGTTTTGTTTGTTCATGTTCTAAAATCACAATGCAGTTTAGCAGTCAGCTGTGTCTGCCCCATAGAATACCAGAACTAATTTAAGCAGAAGTGCTAAATGTTTAGAACCAAGATGCATTAACTAAGCAATGTTGCTCGGTGCCCAGTGCTTATTAACACTAACCCCTCACTTCTATAATCATTACATTTCAACATTTGAAGGAAAAAATTAAGGTTTTGATATGCCCTGACGGATGGATAGATGATTAAAAATGCTTATCTCAAAGCTGGGATATTAGTTTTCATGGTAAATTTAAACAAGGACTTGTTTTTAAGGGAGAAAAACTAAAAAAATTGGAAGAGAAAAAACATGGGATATTTTTCCGAATGACTAAACATTCAAACATAAAACCATCCAAATAGCTTTACAATGTCACTGCATGTGACTATGTGCTAAATTATTGCACCTAAAAATACACATTCTGCCTCTCATTAGATTTCACAGTACCACTAGTATGGCGTGCCCCACCAACACACACACACACGTTTGGTTTTGTTCTGCTAATCTGATCTGCAGCCTTTTTTGTACCCCTTCCTGTGAAACTAGTTTATAAGATTACTGTACTGCAATACATTGTCTATTAGTATTTTAAGAAATTTACACTTGCCATTACATTACATTACAAAAAAAAAAGATGCAAATAACTGGTAAAATGACACTGTGCTAATTATAGTGCCTTATCTTTCATTGTCCTGCACATAAATTGGGCCTGAAGCTGGTTTTTATTTTTGTACTCTTTAAAAGCTATCATACAGATAAATATTCCTCTGCAGAGTTGATCAAACAAACAGATAACACAAAGAAAAGGAGTACTTGTGGCACTATAGAGACTAACAAATTTATTTGAGCATAAGCTTTTGTGAGCTACAGCTCACTTCATCGGATGCATCCAATGAAGTGAGCTGTAGCTCACGAAAGCTTATGCTCAAATAAATTGGTTAGTCTCTAAGGTGCCACAAGTACTCCTTTTCTTTTTGTGAATACAGACTAACACGGCTGCTACTCTGAAAGATAACACAGAAGCATTAAGGATTAAGGATTTAAGCATTAAGGATTTACATTCCACACATCCAGATAATCTACAAATGTTTAAACTGGTCATTTATGACCCAATCCTGTGAAGTGCTGACACCCAATGCCCTTTGGCTTGAGTGAAAAGTGACACTGGATTACAGAACTGGGCCCTTAGTGGGGCATTTAGGGGGAGCAGAAAGGAACACTCACATCTTGCCACTTTTGATCTTGTTCCTGTAGCTTGGATTTTATTTTCTGTAGCTCTTCATAACGAACCTGGCGCAGCACTTGGGCCTCATCTGCACTGACATCATTCAAAGACTTGCTCCTAGGACCAAAAACATTGTTTTGCTTAATGTAGTCTTTGCCAGTAAGACTTCCAAGAGGGAGGAAGGGATTTATATTAATATAACTTAAGCTGTCCTATCATGCATTTTTAGACAGAGCAGGAAAAACATATACTAGCTATTTTTCAGTATCCTGTATGCAGTGGTGCCAACACAAACATCAGTGACAGCATCACTGGTCAATGTGAATAGGAAAAGTGAGACTCCTATGGTCTCCTAGCAGCTTTGCACTGACAATTCAAACTGCACTTCTCTGCTCTTGAACTCTCTCCCTCTGTTCAGATTTTTTTTTTAACTCTCCCCATGTGTTCAAAATCTCATGATGGATCTCCTCTGCCTCTTTGAACTAAATATTTCTTCTCACCTAATCCCACTCTCCTCCCTACTTTCTCCTTCTGTGTTTATAATTTCATTAGTCTGCCTATTCCTCAGGCTCATAAGCTTGGTGTCATTTTCAATTCTCTCTTCTTCTCTTCCCTTCCATCCATCTCCAGGTGCTCAAAAAATGTTGCCACCTCTCCAGCAAAACTGATTTCTAAAAGACCACTCCATTGTCACTACCGAAAAAGCTGGTTTGTGCTATGGTTCTCCTTTGCCTGGACTACTATCAAATTCCACCTCAGTCTCCCTGACTGTTCTCTTGAATCTAACATCCAACAGCTAAAATAACCTTATTCTCACTCTGCTCTCACCATGCAACCCTTCTCCCCCAGTACTTTCACTGTCTCCCTCTCTTCCCTAATTCTTCAACACTGGTTTCTTGCACCCTGCTTTCCATGTCTGACTTCCACTCTTGCACTACGAATTCATCTGCTCCTGCCCTAACTTTATTCCCTCATTTAATGATTCCAGAACTTACGATTCACTTGCTATAGACTAGGACTCACATTAATTTGTGTTAGTCCTAGCCCTTTCTTTTCTTACTCCCCTCATTCATTGTCTATCCCATGCTCTATATTTGCCTAAATTGTAATCTCTTTGGGGCATGGACAGTGTCTTTTCTTAATCTTTTTAAAATGCTATGCAACAGCACGGTTCTATATTATGTATTTAAAAGGGACAGTCATTTTTTTTTAAAATTATTTCTCCCATTCAGAACAAAGCCCTATAAGTCTGTGAGGTCTTCGTATCCTCGATCCTCTTTAGTACTACCTGGGTTCAGAAGTCCCCTGCTAAAGCCCCAAATCCATCAAGTTTCCTTGTAGCCTGACTTCAGGGTTTGGCCATCTCATGGAGAGAGTGTATTATAATTTTCTCCCTGCCATTTCTGAAACTTTTTAAAGCCTCTTCTGGATTGGCCATGGATGTACCTTTGGAGTGACATGGGACCCTCCCTTCCCATCACAGTACTTCAGTTGATTGCCTGAGGTGTGCTCCCACCCAATCAGCTCAGGGAGCAAAGTGACTGAAGAAGTAACCCATTGTATGATGACCTGAATGACAGTGAGTGGCCACTAGAACACCAGGACAATAGAACATATTAAATGTTCCTGAAAGGGAGGAATTAACAGTACCCACGTAAGCCAGTTATAACATGAAAAGGTATCGTACACATTTCACTTATTTTTGCCAAAATAATTCAGTCCTGATATGCTCCTCCAAACTTGAGCCTATCTGAAGCAGACATGAGCTGTACAAAATTATGTGGTGGTTTTGTGATGCATGCAACTAGGGACTAGGAAGAGGCTAAACTTAATTTCAGTGGCAACCTAAGACTTTGGACTCTGCTCTTTAGAACATAAAAAAGTACAGCACTCAGTTATTGCCCGTTTATTTTATTTTTTTTAAATGGGAAGCATGCCAATTCTAGCAACAATACCATGGTTACTACCTCACTCAGGCACTATTTGTTTGCTTAGTTTTCTGTCCTGTCCTTGTTTTTATAATTCACTTTTATGTCAGGCACAGAAATGGTTTTTATATTACAATAAACCGGTATCAAAGCACCAAAATTGTTCAAGACTAGTTGAGGGAATGTACACTAATTATTATGAACTGCTTTTTCCTCTCTTGCTTTTCTATATTCTCCTTGAACCAGACAGAAAATGTAAATAATTGAAATTTATATATTTGACTAAAACCTACTTATAAAAAGTGTGTTATTTGTATGTAATCATCTTAACATCAAAAACTTATCTAATGGATATACCCTCGTATTCTCCCTCCTCTGAATATGTAGCAGAGCTCCTTCTCAGACCAGTTTTCACTCCTTGCTGATTTTGGCAATAATTAACCAATTATAAATAAAAGCATGTCACACAACTTTTTGGTTTTTTTTTTCCTTCTTCCAGATTTTGCTTCATTTCTACAGATCATGGTCAAAAAGTGAACAGATTTCAAAAGGGAAAACTAGAAAAAATTAGTAAACCATGCAAAAAACAAACATTCATGCATATTCAAATCTACGAAGTACATTCAGGCAAAAAAATCAGTAAAGCACTCCTCTTCCCAAACAAGCACATATTGTAAGCCAAATAAAAAGCAAGACTCAAATGACAAAATGGTGCTTTAATGTGTATTGCTGTCGTAGAACATGAAGTAAGTTTACACTTAGTATTCAGTCACCTAGCATTGGACAAATAGAATCAATAAATTATACAGTATCCAGAAAGCCCAACCTCTCTAGTGGAAACTATACCATTAAATAACCCTGAAAGAAAAAGCTACCCTCACTTGCCTATCTATTTTTATTTTAAGATGCCCTCGTTTTAAGTTGTATTTTTTGTGCAATCTTTGACAAAGACTCTTGACCTCAGATGCAGAATGATATCCAAAATAATAGGAAATGCTGTGCTAAATTAATTTCACATTAATTTAAGCTGCTCTTGATTTTCTTTTCTTGATTCTCTCTCATTCTAGGTGATTTATTCCACACATTTGGACCTTGGCCAGTTGAGATGTCTTCCTATACTTTCTTACCAGGATAAACATAGGTATTTAAATTCACATCAACTTCAGTATTCTTCTCCGTACCCTCCATTAAAGAAGAAGAAATATTTACTAGCTTTACTCTAGATTTGTTAAAACTCTAAAAATCCAATTTGAATATAGGGGGAAAAACACACAAGTTTCAGCAAGACTGAAATTTCACAACTGATTTTTAAAAGCTTGACAACAGCAGCCATTGCAATTTATTTACTATATGTGCAATATTTTATGCTACAATGAGCTTCTATCAGAAGTATAGCTATTGTGTTTCCTATAACTTATGGAAATTACTCAAGTCCAGAACTACAAAGCAGCATGCACAAGGTGCTCTGAGCAAGAGTTTTTAGCTATTATGCATGCATAAAAATTACTGGAAAAGTTTAATAAGATGCACAAAACAAATAGTATGGTGAAATTTTTGTATTTTATCATAAACTTACCCATCCTCATCAGAAAGCTTTTGAAACAGTCTGAGAAATCAGAAAACCAAAAAAATTCATTTCAGGGTCTTACTCTATATGTAAGAGAACATTTAGAAGTTTGATGCAGAAGCACTTTGACTAAAGTGATGGGAGAACAACAAAAGATCAAGAGTTACAGGCTTGGATCAGTACCTCAAAGTTCAGATGCAAGTCAAACTTACGAGAAACTGTGTATTCTGGAAGTCAAGCTTAAAAATCTCACAATACGAAAAGGTCCCTATCACAATTCCTAGCATTTTCCGTTTTGGAAATAATGCATGAACAGTCTAATAGTTATTACTCATTGCCTCTTCCAGTGCTATCTAACACCAGGAAGTGCAGACAAAAAATGATGACTATTTTGAACTGAGTCCTAAGACAAAGTTTGGTTCAGAAAGGTTATATTTTTGTTCAAAGTAATTTTCCCATTCCTAATTTTAATGCATGTAATAAATGGAATGAATGAACAGAATGCCAAAATGCATTCAGCTTAACACATTAAGATGCAGAACGAGATGCATCCAATATGATGCACTGAATTAATTTTTTTTTAATTTTAAAATACTTAGTGAAGACATTGAGTATAAATATAATTTTTATTGAGTGAAATAGCCTTAGAAGTCAATTATATTCAGGTGTTTTAGAAATACTTTTAACCAAATGTAAGTTTTGTCTAGCTGTGTTAAGCTTCAAAATTAACAACATACACAATATTAGCTGGAACACAAAATTGTATCAGTTATGAAATAAGGATGCTGAATGAGAAAAATTGCAACTTGCAATTCCGTATTTTCAGCGATAAGGAGGACTTGAAAAACCCACTCTCTCTGAGTGAGCACAGAGTTTGAAAGAGGGCTGGGCAGCAGTTAAAACAGAGGGCAGATAGGATAGCAAAGCTCTGAGTGAGCCAGGCAAGGAGTTGAGCATTAAATGGTGACACATTTGATTTGAAAAAAGGGAAGACTTGACTAGAGAAACGAAGATGGGCTAGAGGAAGTTAAATATACACATACCCCCTTTTGGGAGTGTGCTTTTTAGGGTCATGGCACAGGCATTGTTCATCTAGTATAGTACCCTTTGAGCTGTGGGCGAGTGAGCCTTGGGAAATTTTTTAAATCCTAGCTCATAAGCAGTATTAACAGAGCTTCTATTTCCTAAGACCCTTCAATAACGTATACAGATCATTTAGGAATGTTTGTACACTAGTGTAGAGAAATGACATTGCCTTCCCTGGTCTCTGAAGTGCTCATATTCCTGCTCAATCATAGAAAGATGCATGTTTCCTTCAGTCTCAAATTATACAATATACATTACTGGAAGCAATCGAATAATCTAAACCATGTTGAAAATACGGTATTGCCCTGTCATAAGCTTTTCCACCACTACACAAAATAAATACATTGCAGTTCCACACTACATGCACGGTTCCATTCAGTACAAGATGATGCTTTTCTTAATGGGAACATTTCAAATACTCAGACACAAGCACTCTCCACACAGGGACACAACCTGACCTCTCAACCATCTGGCGTTTCTTGTGTCTAACTTTGCTGGCCTCTCTGATAGCCTCCCATTTTTTCCAGTCTTCTTCGCTGCATGGACCTGGAGTAAAACTGACTGGCTGCAGAACACTTCCTACTTTCCAGGACTCAATCTTGCGAGTCAGCATGTCATCCTTCTTCTGCTGCAAAGAGGGTGATAAGACTCTACCACCATTTTTTTCATCTTCTGTTGGGTTAGTCTTGTCAAGTAAACAAAGAAATTTGGATTGGATTTCTGGTGGAAGACTCCAAGGGTCAGGAAAGAGTGCAGGATGGTATTTATCTGGAGCACCTGATAAAGGCACTTCTTTTTTATGTGTTTGTACTTTACGAACAATCATGTCATCTTTTTCTAAGTCTGGAATAACAGGTTGGTCCTCTCTGGGTTGCAGAATTATTTCACCCTCTAAAAGAGGTTCTTGCTCAGAGGATTTTCTAAAGTATTCAAAAGCTTGGAGAGCAATTGGATTCATGTGGAAAGTCCCAATCTTCCGAACAAACAAATCGTCATTTTCCAAGTCTGGATATGGGTCTCCATTCAGAGTTTCCCTCTGGTTCCATCCTGGCGTAAAATAAATATTCTTTCTGCATGTTATGACCCTAGGGCCAGAAGTAGGATCAATTTTGGTCTTCATTTCAGAAGACAAGTAGTCATCAGAGTATTTTTGGAGGGTCTGAAGTAATGAAAACTGACTGAAGCATATAAAACAAAAAAGAGGAAGGTAGAATATCATTAATTGCCAGAAGACTCAGACTGCAGACAAAAAGTATTCAGAGGAGCATTTGTTTTAGAATGGAATATTCTGAGAAGCACACATACAATTCAGTATTTGCTACAATGCAGCACATATCCACCCCTCTAAAATGATAGTACAGCATATTAACCTTGGTAGAAACAGCAAGATCACATGCTCAATACACAAAGCCAACGATCTTTTACAGTCCGTTATGCCTTTCAGTAAACTAGCAACTTGTGACTATGTACAGAGATAACAGTAACTTCACGGGTTGCACTTTTAATTCACTCAACTGTTGCATTACGAGTAGTTTCCCTTGATGCAGCAAGTGTACACAGTTCATGCAATTATATCAACCTGCGTTGATCAGAGGCGTACGTGATTCCCCCTTCTGCAATGTGGGACAATGATTCCCCCACATAATCAGCAGTCAGTTTGGCATTGCTTTGTTTATAGACTGAATCTTCATCCTCAGAATCAGACTTCCTTCTACTGTAGAGTAGCATGAGGAATGGAAAAGAGCGGAAGTTAATATTTAGAGTAATTATGGACCAAAGCACAAAAAGATAGAGGTGCATTTGTCCATTGTAGATAATACATCAGTTTATTTCCCTGCAAAAGCCTCTGTTTGAACAACAAATAAGACACAAAAAAGCCAGCTGTTAAACTTTAAAGAAACAGCCAGTGGAGTTGATAAAAAACAGACAAAAAAAGGTTTCTTGATGCATTTAAAGCTACAGTGCACTCAAACACTGTGCATACACGAGATGTAAGAGGAGCATGCACACACAAACCTGAATCCCTGAAGGTCCTTATACCATGGTTTGGAAGAGGATCCTTTTTTGATTTTTTTCCAATGCAATTCTTCTTCTGGAGTCCAAAATTTAGGTAGAAACTTATCAAAAGAAACCATTGGGTTTGAAACTGCAGAGTTTAGTTTGCGAACATAGAGATCATCTTTTTCAATGTTTGGGATGCCTACTGCCTTTTCCTCCTCATCATCAGAATAGCCGGAGAATTTTGAAGAAATGTTAACTTTTGGCTTGCTTTCCTCTTTAGGGTCCAAATGCCTCTGCCTCCTCTGGTTACTGTTCAAAATAGCCAATCAGTTAAGATACTTTAGAAGCAACTTCATAACATATGCAAGAGACATGCTTTTTGGCTCAAAAGTTCAAAATTGTGAATGAAGCAAATTAGTTTTTAATTCCATTACTGCAGCACTAAAACAAAGTTAAGTGGTTATAACAGCATCTTATTTCATCTGATAAAAAGAAAGGAATTTGACTACAAAGAATGTAGTAATTTATCAGCAGCGTTAAACAAATGCTGATTAGAAATGTTGCTTTTTGATGCAGTTATTTATGGATTGCAATTTTGGTAGTACAATACTTTGGATCTAGGATTAGTATCTCTGACCTCATCGGTTCAAGCACAGCAGCTAATGGACCAGCTGGATAATTTTGTTGCAAACAAGATTTAGGAGAGTCCTTGTGCAAGATGTAAAGATGTCCAGGTGCAGCAGAACTCACAGGGCTCTTTTTTATTAAGAATCTACGTTTTGCTAAATCATCCATAATCACATCAGGCAGTCTTCTTTCATCTTCTGAATCAGAGCCACTGTCATACTCATAGATCATCTGCAGGGAAGCTGGATTTGTAAACCCACATTCTGCTCTGCTATTCTGACATGAAGCTAAAGGATTCTTTCCTCGTCCACTGAGATTGACCAAAACAGGAACAAAGTGAAGACAGTGAAATCACCTAGGTCATGATGAAGCCCCAAATATGCCCAATAATCTCAAGTGTGTACATTTACAAATTGGAAAACTGGACAGCAGAGATTAGTAACAACAAAATCTGGATAAGCTTTAACCTAAAAAGTTAAACATATGTTTTGCTTGCTTTAATTCTGCATTTTAAGATCATATAAATTTCCACTGTTAAAGTTTTATCCATGTCACAATGTTATTCATCAACGAGCTATGCACAGAAACAATGTTTTTTATTTTGTAAATCTCATATACTTTACTTTTAATTACAGTAAAGGCAGCTTCTCTTGCTTTAATGAATAAGTCTGTTCCTTTTGCCATAAATCAAAAGTTTGCTCTATTTAGGTAATACCCTAGTACCTTGAAAATGTTCCATCTGGCTCAGTGAAGACAGGACTTGCCCAGCTTCTTCTGTTGTCCTCATTCTTCTCTGTCCTTTTTTTTCTGAGTGGTGCTGGCATATATGATGCCTGTTTGGTTTTGCAGGGTAAGAAACGATTGAACTCTGTAGCAGGTTTTGGTTCAATCACAGCAGTCCTGCGATATGACATGTCATCTTTGCCAGAATCATGCATTTTGTAAGGCAGTTCAGAGTCCGTGTCACTTTCGCAACCTTAAAAAAAAAAAAAAGCCAAAAGCACATAGTTTATCCTCTAGATTTAAATCTGATTAAAACCTAAAATAAAATAAACAAAAATAAAGTTGATTGAGCTATGTATTTTCAGAAGTTTCACCTGCAAACATGCAAAGCTACTAACAAGATAACAGCAGAGGTATTTTTAGAAGCACGCCATGAAGCTTTGATAGGATGCATTAGGTTGAAATTGGTTTACATACTAGCGTTAAAATGTAAATGAATGTTTTACTGTCCCCATTTGAGGCTGAAAGCAAAGTGCTAATCTCCAGAACTAAACTTAATTTTAAAGTTGTGCATTTGCCATTCAAATCAGTCAAAAAGACTGTGTGTTAGCACATTTCATGTACTAGTGAGAAATGTAATACTACTTTTGATTTATGAAATGTCATTAGATTAACACATAACTCCAAAGAGGTTGGCTGAGGCCAGGAAAAAAAAATCTATGAAACCTTGACCAAGTAGCTCATAGAATTTACACATTTGGTTTCGTAAATTATACTGTTTAAACAGATCCGAAAACTTGGACACCTATAAAGTCAATTTTACTTTACCATTGAAATTTAAAAGCATTCAACTACAGAAAATATGCTATATTCAAAAGTAACGGAAGGAATTTGATTTAACAATTTTGGCTCTTGGCAATTTTCTTCATCAAAACTAAAAAGCCAAAATAAAATTACATCTATTTTCAAAATCTGGGATGAAAACCTTTTGAAGTATTTCACTTCGATGTTGGTTTATGAGGGAATGTGGAAAAAAATTAGAGGTATGACATGCCTACAAAAAGAACAAGATAGAAAAGACTTATAATTAAGAGGTCTGTCTAAAGATCTTTAAATAATATTACCTAAAAGTGTTGAAATATACAAGCAAAGGAGAACAGGATGTGTTAAGTGTTAAGCTTGGCTTCATTTCCCATCTTCCTGGCTGCTAGTGATTTAAGTCCCACATTTAGGGTACATCTACACTGGAGCTGGAGATGTAATTTCCTTCTGGGGAAGATGTACATGTGCTACCTTTGGCCAAGCTGTTAAAAACAGCAGTGTAGCTACTCTGGCAAGGGTAGTGGCTCAACTACACTGCTATTTTTGGTGTGCTAGCTGAATCAAAGCTAGCGCATATACGTCTATCTGAGCTGGAAAATTACATCTCTAGCTGTAAATGAGCTAGAATGCCCTTAGATAAAGGGCATTATTATATTACGCATGTATTACATCATTTGTAAAATGCATAATTAGACTTTTCATCTGCTGTTCTCAATGTGCTTTACAAAGCATTTCTATCCGCCTTTTCTAAATGGGGCAACAAGCCCAGAAAAGTGACTTGCCAAGAGTTAAACAACAAATCAGTGGTAGTGTCCAGTGCTCTAGCCATTGGAACAGTGAATACACAGAAGAATAGCCTTAACTTAATATGTAGAATAATCCACATTTTACACCTTAGTTGTTTGGGATTTTTTAAATAAGTTATAGGCATTCCAGTTCTTCACAGAAAGCACTCTCATGTAGCATCTCCTTTGAAACTAGACACACCTGTGGAGATTCTAATATCTGAAAACCATCATTAGTGCTGGTTGAAAAATGTTAGGTGTGTATTAATTAAAATAAATAGAAGACTTTTTATTTTTCAGTTTTGGTTATGATGTTGAAAGTTTTCGGAAAAAATGAAAATTTTCCATGAAGGCTTATTATGATCAAAAACTTTCAAATCAAAAATTTTTGCAAGCACTATTAGTCATGCAGTTCAACAGTAAAATCAATCCCACTTCCAATCAAAGCAGTGTGGGATAGGAGAAAAACCTGGTGATAGGCAAGTGGTCAGCAGCCAAACCCGCTCCACAATTTAAAAATGAGCAAGAGAGGACAGTGGGGCAAAAGTCCCAAACAGTCCAACTGGAGACACATTTGTGTGACTAGATTATTTGTTTTCAGCCAGTTGCTAGCTAGTCAATAACTCTTCGTGCAAAAACATCCTGATATGGCACCCAGTACTACTGCAGCAGCATCTGACTTGGAGCTGCCTTTGAAATCAGTGGGAATTTAACATGTTGAGCAGCTGCAATATTAGGTCCATACACTTTCTTCCCCCAATCTGTCTCCAACAATCCATAAATTAACAGAGAACCCTAATAAGCAAAAATACCTTCACTGCCACCCTTCAAGGTTATATCTGATGAAAAGCTTGTGGAGGATCTTGAACCAAAGGAGTCCAGGCTATCGAAAGAATCGTCTCTTTTATGGCTAGTGGAAGGTGAAAATGCTTCTCCACGGTCAATGTACCAAATATCACCGTACCCGCTATCCCTGCCACTGCTTTTCAGACTGCTGGATTCTTCGAGGGCCTAAAGGAATAAGTTATTTTTTTTTGTTTTGAGCAGTTATTTTTTTCAGCAATTTAAGAAGCAGGTAGTATTTTACATAGTGCATGTTATACACACTATTAAACTGGTAGTGGAAGAACCCAAATACGCTTGAAGTTTCTTAAGCACATTAGAAAAAAAAAATGTGAGGAGAAATATCTGCCATCTTTCTACAAGAAAAATGTAATTAAACCCCAAAGAGATGTTTGGAGTTGACATCTCTAATGCACAGCATATGGCAAACTATGCAGCATACATTTAATACTCAGCCTTACAAAAGTCCATAGCAATTACTATTCCATCTGGATTTCTTACCCTGGTCAGAGCTTGTCCTAGTAATTTCTCAAATGCTTTAAGGTTAAGGTTTGGACCATTGTAACCAGGGTTGTTTTTTGCTTTCCTCCCCAGCCAGTATAATGTAATCAAAACCTAAAACCAAAAAGACAAATTGAGAAGTTCATTAGTTAACTATTAAACAGCATGCCGTGCAAAAATGTTTGAACACAAACTGCTGTGGTTGTTTCCAGGTTTTCCATAATGAAGTGTAAAATCCCTTTTTTGTACATATTTGCCAAGCTGTCTCAATCAAAATCAGCTGAACAGTTACCATTGTGCTCCATACAGATGTGTGTCAGTGAGCGAATATTTAATTATTACTGTTTCTAATTAATTTTTTTAGTAAAGTAAACCAGGAAGAGAGACACAGTAAGGTAGAATTAATCTACATCAGACACATGAACAGCTGAAGACTAAGCTAAGAATGACAACAGCATGACTGGAGAAGTTTTTAAAAGAGTAAACTGGAGTAAGTGTGAAATCATTTCAGAAAGCATTAAGGTAAACATGTCTTACATTTTTCAGTCTTCTATTGGTCTCTTCTTGCCTGCAAAGGAGAAAAAAAAATTCAGTATTTCTGACTAGAACACGCAATACAATTTTAATCTGAAATAATGTAGTCATTAAAAGTCAGAGCTATTGTTTTTTAAGCCCAGTTAGAAGTTGCCATGAAATATGGATAGATTTGATTCTTTAAAAAAAACCAAAACATTACAGGCATAATTATTTACTACTTCAGCCACTACATATAAGAACAAAGTGAAGACAGAAACAGAGAGTGGTCTGAGGTTTTAGACCATTCTCTGTAAAAGAACATGTCCTTCATTATAATCGGTATTTTTGACTTTAGGGGAAAACCACACCAAAGCAAAAATCTGAATGGTTTTGTATTAGAAAACTTTTGCTGGAGAACTGAAATGTTTAGCTAAAGTGGCAAACAGCCTAATGCTCCTGGGGATAAACTCCCTGTTAATCTGAAAGATCTACAGGTCTCTCTGGTTCCATCTGCAGATTGTAACAGATTGTAACCTTGAGGTATTTTTGGAGTATATTTTCCAAAATATTTGCCTCTGAGACGCAATGATGCATAGCAAGTTTCTGCTAAGAAAGAATTTTTCAGAAACTTGAGCAACTGAAACTGGAAACATATGGAGAAGTCCATATTTCAGAGAATGCACTTGAAGAGTACAAGCAGTAATACTAGTGAACCTGTTTTTAAAAACTGCTCGCTTGTAGAGCTTTGGTGTGTGAATCCAGGTGTATTTTCAAGGGTTCTGCTCCTGCAATAAAATTTTTAGGAGGAAAATTACGAGAAACTTCTCTTCCTCTGGGGATGCTCTCCAAGACTCCATAGAAGATCATATAGTTTCAGTAACAGATACTTCAAGTGAGGAAGAAATCCTATAGCGGACAACTATGAAGTCATCTGTTTATAGGGGAAATTTCTTCCAAAATCCCTTCAGTCAGGGACTACGAGGGCTTATATCTCCTTATGAAAACATTTTATCCTATCTAATGTAACTGTTGGCCAGAGACTGGGATTTTCCCTCTTTTCTTCTTGGCTCCAGGGAGGCTTCTATCCTCATCTAGTTCAACTGTAATATCTCTCCTGTTCTTTACAGCATATATACATAACTTTGTATCACTGACAGCCTTAACAGATATTTTGATCTAAGTGTTCCTTGCCATGTCTGCTTTTTGTCAGGACTTGTTTATATGGTCTCCCCAAATCTTACTGATTTTGTACCAACCAGTTTGGTTCCACCTTGGTTCAGGTGGAACTTTTTGCTTCTGTACAAAAATACTCCTTTCTCTAAAACATTCCACATGCCTAATAAAATTAAAACATCTACCCATTCACAATCCATCCCCCTAGGTCCCATCTTGATGGCCCTAAAAGCAGAACCAAGCCAATTCAAACAAAAAGCTACCCTGGAAACACCAATTTAAGCCTTTTTGAGAGTAATCTAAATTTAGCATCCAGGACCACTCACACCTTCCCGTATTACTGGTACCAATATATACCATGACCACAGAGGCTTTGTCTAAGATATCTCAGTTTTGTTTGCAATTTCAGATGGAGATGCAGTATATTTTTAGTATGTTTTATACTCTTGGGGTAGCCTTTGCTGCTTCACTCAAAATGGGGCCTTACAATGCACGTTTTCCACTTATATTTGACAAGGGCTCTACAATCTTTATGCCAAGATGTAGACTTCACTACAGTATCTGTGCTCTGGAAAAATCAGGGTGGATGGCTAATGTGCTCCACTTAGAAACAGGAAGGTGTCCTGATAAGCCTTCAGAAATTTCTGATAAAGCAGAGAATATGACAATCCACTTTCTGAGCATGGTGAGCCCCTATGAACATATAATTCCTATGCTCACCACTCCATCAGTTCTGAGTCCAACCCAAAAAGTGTTAACTTTAAAAGTTCTAAGAACTATTTATTAAGATGCCATTACCTCTTTTTTCCATTACAACCATTGGAGTTAATTCGGGTGTCCTACCTGATAAAAGCTGAAGTTTTGTTTTCTGGGATTGGCAGCCGGGTGTACAGGTGAAGGCCCTACCCTTTATGTGCTTGAGCCTATTTCTGGGGCTCAAGTCACAAATGGTTTTTTTTCAGTCAGGCTTTTCAATGAATATTATAGTGTTTACTTGCAGATGTTTGTTTTGGTGGATTGCTTCAGGCCAATATTTTGAAACAGGAAGACATTCCGCTACTTGTTTTAATAACCACTATATAATACCTGTGTAGGTTAACTATAATACTTAAAGCAATATAAATTCTGGAGATCTACTTTTACACCTAAAAAGCCAATGAGTTTATCTTATCCCAGAAGAAAACGCATGAAAATTCCCGGAAAACTTAGTTTAATGAGGTGAAATTGCCTTAGATTTGCTGCTGTAATTAAATAGGGAAGTCAAGAGTTGCTCAGACCTATCCAGTAGGTTTTTCTATCACTCTGTGCTGGCACTTACATCACTCCTTTGCTTCCTCTAATTTGAATTACTATCATTTGGTGCTTTTGAGCAGCCTGTTACAATGGATGCAGCAGGAAGGCATGGAAAATAATCTCTCGACCCCAATATGATAGCCGCCTTCTCATTTAAATACCACCCAAAGATGCAAAGTCCAGAAATAAAACCTATGAGAAATTATTAAAGATTCTTTTTAATTAACTACCTAGACTGTTTCTGGTTCTTCCAGTGTGTCTCATCTTTCTATGTTCTCTCTTCTGTATTGTAAATTGTCCAGTGCAGGTGGTACTTCATATTCGTATTTTGCACAGTACAGCAATATTATTATGGGCAACTAGCAAAAACCTGACTTCTTTTTAAAGTGGCTAACAACCTAGCTTGCCACAACCTGCCAACATCCTAACATGCCAGAGCAAGTATCAAAGTCCTGAAGGAATTTTCCAGCAATGTGGTGTAGATGTTTACAAAGAGAAATTGTTCAAAGTGCCTATATCAATGCTGGAGTAACAATAACAATAAAAATAGGTATCCCAAACCTTGAATTTTAGTAAGATGTAAACTATTAAAGCAGCCTAATGAAATCCTGGTAAAAGCACCAATATCACCATGTTACTGAATGGAATTAACAATGTAACAAGTCAATTGTCACCCAAGAACTTGCTAAGAACTCGTCACCTAAGAGTTGCTACTCAATGGTTATTCTACCTGACAGGTGCAACAGGAATGTAACTCAGATTCACCTACTCCAAAAGGCACTTGTTATTATCATTTGAACTATTAAAGAACCTCCTACATGAACATATTAGCCAAACTCGTGACCAAAGTATAAAATCCACAAACAACTTTATACTTAATACTTGACACATTTCATTTAAACATACTGATGGAAAAGATTATAGCCATTTGGTAGGAACTCATTGTGAATTGCAGAAAAACTACTAAGCGTGCTGGTGTTTTTTCCAGGTCTGCATCAAATTATAACAGTGTGAAATTTTAATTTGGTTGTTATTAATGAAAGTGTGGAATAAACAGCAGCACACCTCAAGTTAACATTATATTTAGTTCTCTTTAATAAAGCACTCCTATTGAAATGTTAGTGTATTACTGTGTTAATCATCATAGGCTGGATTTTGCCTTTAGTACAGACCTGAGTTAGGGTGGAGCGTATGAGGTCTTAGGCACAATATCTCCTAGAATTCACTGTAACACTTGGGCCAGAAGAAGGAATTTGTGACATCCTTTTTGGGGTGCCACACTTCTCAACCTCATAGCCCCAGATGGCTAGCCAGCTTTGTAGCCAGTGCATAGGACAGAATAGCTCCACCTACTCTCCACCCACTTGTTCCTATCTGACATGCAGCCTCTGTTCTTTGAGCTTAGCTCTCGGTAGCTCTAATGCAGCCAGTTAAGGTTCACCTCTCCTCTTCCATGCAGCTCCATAAGGGTTAGCCACAATTTAGCTCTGAACAAGTTTTCCTTAACTTTCCATTCTCCTATACTGTGTTTGATGGAAATAAAAAAAAAGGATAGGACAATGATTTTGACTATGTAGCTTTTGAATCACTTAACATTCTTGGATAATTATAACCTCCTCTTGAATGTGAAGATAGAGTATCCAAGTACATATGCAGCCCTGATTTAACAAACACTTGTCTCCTGTAGGCAATCCAAGGAATTTAAGTGGTAAATTAATTGCTGAAGCAAACAGAGTTCACAGTTTCTTAATCAATGCAAACAAATTCTATTACATTTAAATTTGTAACTAGGCTGCTCCTTTACTCACTAAGAACACAATGACACAACCCAAGGCTGCAGCTATGATATATTTGTAACAGTCATGTTGGGAAAAATACACATTACTATGACTTGCTATAAGCCAGCCAAGTCACTAGCAATATCATTTTGCTAATGTAAATTATTGAAGTTTCAATTTATAAGGCTGCCTAATGTCATTGTCAAACATTACTTCCTCCCTGTTCCCAAACATTGTAATAGAAAATAGCACTAACTGTTAAAGCTCTGAAGCTTTTATGAAAACAAAAATAGTTATTTTTTAAAAAAAAGTTACTGCATTTTCAATATGTACACTCTCTCATAAGGTTCTCCTTACAGTTACACAGATGAAGAAAGAATTGTAACAGCTATATTTAAAATTGATTTGTTTTGAACATTTAATTTGAGTACTTACTAAGATTTTAAGAAAAACTCTAGGTCTGTTTTGATGTCAACACTTACTTTCCTTCCCCGTCGCCTGATAATATACACACTAAACTACAGGTACCACCAATACATGAGTTTATGGCTAATTTGACACTTCCCAGCAACAAGCGACATGAAACTCAAAACAAAGAGCCCTCAGGTCAGGGAAATACTACTGCTGCTGATTTCATGCCATCCACTGAGGCATTAAAATGCTTTCTAATTTACTCTATTTTTTAGTTACAAATGTAGAAATCTTATCCATAGTTCTAAAAAAAAAAAAAAGTTTATCTGTTATATCTGAATCTGGGAAAAATCCATCTTTATTAAGGTGTTTTTTTAAAAATTCAGTTTTATCTCTC